GATGTCGCTCGGAATAGCTCGGCGGGCAGCGGATTGCAGCATTTGACAACTCCTAAGGAGTAGAAGTTGCGTCTACAGTCCGTTCTGCCATGTTGTGTCTCTAGTTTCTGGGACTAAGCTTAAGTAGGTGTTTTAGGGGATGTCCAAAATTGTTAAGGTTTTTGTAAGCCATTATGTCACCTCTAAGACGTCTATACTCTAATGAGTAGAGGTTAAGTGATTGGAGGCGCTCTTCATAAGGTAACAACACTAATGGAACACTAGTAATTCAAATGCACCCCGTATGGTACCTTACACTGGTTTACGCACTCGCTTAGCTCTTTAGTGAGAATATTAATACGGCCCTGCTGAAAATCCCATGGACCCCCCTACCTCCATCAAAACAAATAAGTCTGTATTTGCTGCATATATCAATTTTACTATTCAAAAGTAAGATATAACAGTTAGGATTAGAGTAAAATGGCAGTATACAGTAGATGCATGTGGTACATGTCTTCATCGATTAACTGAAATAGAGGATACGGATATTAGCTTAAAAGGCTTATTTAGAAAGACTAGTGTCTAATTTGGACTTACTGCGTGAGAAAGTTATACTGGAAATACGAATGTTGTAGAAATAGAGTTTCTCGGGGCGTACGAAGCACTCAGACTGTAAGACAGTTGTCCAAAAATAATCCGAATATGAAGGTGAAAATTTGCAGGTACTTTTCATCGTAAAGGTGAACATATTAGATACCAGTCGACATCATACCGTAAAAAAACACAAATTTACGAGTGGTGAAATATGATCTATAAAAAAGTGAGCTTAATAACAGTTAATTACTTTTTTACTCCTTGATCATGACCCTTCGGCTTTCTTTTATGGCCAAAACAGCAAACATACACTACACACGTAGCAGATTTCCGGCTTTTCAATGTTAAGCTTGCTTTAACGCACTGAGTAATGAGTACAACCCCTCTATTACTGCTATATGGCATATTTTTCATAACGAACCCTCTGCAATAGATTGGTAGCATCTGTGACTTCATCTGCAGTTGTCGGAAGTCTGGGTCCTTTCGAAATCAATACCGATATAACCTACTGCTGGGCACTCTGTATTAGTTTGACTCGTTGGTGGGATAGTGTTGTCCGTTTAGAGTATTACATTGACTTCTGCATTTTAACACACTGAAACAATAAATTACATAGCTACACAAAAGAAATAGCTGAAAGAAGCACAAAACGAAGAAAGCCGACCTCCATTACTTACAAAGATGGCGGATGTAATAATTCCCGCCCCATTCTGATTGGTTGCTAGGCGGAAGGGCACATTTACGAAATTGAGTTTCGTTTAATTGCAGCCCGTTTCAGTGAAACCTGAAGTTAGTTACATTGCAACATAACTAGTCTACGGAACGACACTTCAACTTCTGGGTGAATTCGTGGGTCCTTCGTCTTCTTCATCTTATTACCAACCGGTTACAGTCAACTGATATGTTCGTTCAGCCTGCCATACGACGTAGTATGAAACTAACGATGGTGTTAGCACCGACCAACTTAAAGCCGAGTATTGAAAAGGAAGCCATAACAATTTTGATACTGCTCTTGTACAATCAAACAACACGACAGTCACAACAACGATACCCCCACCGATAATCAGCAGTCACGAAAAATGTTCGCTGATATCTGATAACTGGCCCAAACAATGCGCTCCGGAAGAAAGCTTAGGTTTCCGGTGCTCTTGATCGACTACTGCACGTAGTACATTTTATTTGTTTTTGTTTTGTCTCGCTCTCGGTTTCCCATAATTATTTGTTGTATTCTCACTTTTTTATGCTGTCGTGTCAGAAGTAAAACATCGTTTCTCACCGATGTGCTTAAATATATACGTTAATCACTTTTTTAAATATCCAAGAAACCTTTCGCTATCAGAACATTTCACGCTGCCACATGGTTTATGCACTCAAATATGCCAGGTTTTTTACGTTTATTTTCCTTATCCAAACACGAAAGTATTTCGATATGCACATGCATTTTATTATTTTATTTTTCAGGACCAATGGAGATGATGAACTAACGAAGAATACGATGAATAGAAATTTTCATTGTAAATTTGTCACTGTTGTGCTATTTCGGTAGAGTTTTGTTCTCTGAGCTGGATGGTTTGGTCGTGGAGCTTACATCGTTCTTCTGAACGACATCATCAGCACAAACTTCAGATAGAAGTAAAGTGTTCGAATTTCTCCATATGTGTTTCACAGCTTGTTCTGTGCACCTCGATGTTGATTGGTTCTTATTGACCTTAAATTTACCATTGTTTACTTCTTTGTTTTGGTTGTGTCTCCCATTGGTTTGATTTTTGTTCCTATATTTATGCATGATTTTCCTGATTGGTTGATAAATTGGATTGATTTCAATATGTTTGTTGATTGCTGATTGACCTGAGTGCCAGGCTTCTAAAAATTCTCTGGTGTTTTTGGAGTTTCCTCTATCTAAGATTTCTACATTTTCCCAATCGAATGAGCAGCACGAAAAAATGAAGAGAAATACCTGAGGAACGTATTTCAAAAGAACGGTTACTCAATCAACTTCAACAAAAACACCAACCGCACGCAGCATCAGAACCCAAGACAAGCAGAGAAATCAACAACTGAGACAAACACTACATCGGACAAAGCGGATGCCCCCTCCACCTTCGCCTACATGAACATCAATTAGCAGTCAAATGCCATGATATCTCCTCACTTATATCAATACACGTGAATAACTACGGACACTCATTCGATTGGAAAAATGTAGAAATCTTAGATAGAGGAAACTCCAAAAACACCAGAAAATTTAAGGTCAATAAGAACCAATCAACATCGAGGTGCACAGAACAAGCTGTGAAACACATATGGAGAAATTCGAACACTTTACTTCTATCTGAAGTTTGTGCTGATGATGTCGTTCAGAAGAACGATGTAAGCTCCACGACCAAACCATCCAGCTCAGAGAACAAAACTCCACCAAAATCATCCACCTGAGCTACAAATCTTCTCCACCAACTTTTGTGTTATACTATATGTCAGGGGAAGACGATTGATCATTGCTGGACATAGGAAGCTATCAGAAGAGTACTTACGGGCAGCACGTGATTTGGGTTTAAAATTTCTGGCTGGCCACATCTTAAGGTCATCGTTACTCCATTAAGGAGTGAGATCACGAACAATACTGACAAGTTTTCTCACGTGTCTATGTAGGGAGGGGATGAGGTTAATGGAAATGAACTTAATTTCACTGATATTTAGTGATAGATTACACAACACAGTCAATCCATTTAACGTCTTGAAAATTTCTTAAGTTATCACTAGAAGATAATCAATAAGTGACCTCCCAGTCGTCAACAAAAAAGAGGTTCGGACATGTTGAATTGGTTAACAGACCTCGTTGATGAGAAAAAGGTCATGGGTAAACTACACCCTTTTGTATAACCCCAGTGGAAATATCCATAGACTTGAAGCTGCAGGATCCAAAAAGAATAGCTTGATAATACTCAGCAATTGAAAAATCTAGGTGCAATGTGGACAACGAGAATCTTTGTGACAAACCTAAAAACAATACAGGTATTCGGAGTTTGACAACATATTTACGTATGACATCTTCACAATCGAAGTACACTAACCGAGTCAAATCGAAGTCAGAAATGAAGAGATTCGAAGATGTATTTGGAAAGCTATCGAAATATCGAGAAACCGTTTTGTCTGAGCTGAGTCACAGTTGCAGAACTTCTCAGCACGGCATACCCACTGGTGATCTGGTGCGTATGTATGACCGAGCGACCTCAACTAGGATGTGTCCAGTAAAACTATTGAGGCTAGGACCAATGTCGAATACTCACAGTACTATTCACTTTGAGGATTTATTTATCACTATAAACCCAAGTCCTAATGGTCTTAACAAGCTTTCGGAATGCAAAAGTGATGGTAGCTATTTGCAGATGATTTTCTTCATGGTTCACGCATATGCTTCAGCGGATTATTGCAAATTCTCTGCTACCATTCCCCAGTAATAAAGTCATAGGAATTTCTCGATACGATTAGTCTGCTTGATGATCTAGTTGTAAAATGACCTATTGATGGATGTCTAGATAAGGACTTTGCGAGTGTTTTCCTTAAGGTTTTGGCTTTCGTATTTTAACATCAAGAAGTAGAGTATTTTAGAAGCTAATAAGTAGTATCAGGGTCGTCCACATGAGTGCCGTTAGTTCTAGAGTGTAGTTATAGCAACTGATTTCGGACTTAAGCGGAATCCGAATAACCATATTGTTGTTGGCCGTACGACTCTGCTACCCAGATATTCATTCTATGTGGTCAAAAGCTAGTTACGTCAAAATAAACCAATCTTCTGAGTCAGTTATGTTCGTAAGAGCATAGAATTCATGGTGCTTATGTTAGTAATTTTTTAATTAGTTAAACTTTCTCATCAGACTCCTGACGGGATTTTTATTTTGGTATCGTTGCTTGATTCTACCTTCATTTGCTTCCCAACTATCTCAAAACATGTGTAAACCATGATAAAAATATCTATATTAGAAACTATGCACTGTAAATTCTGAAGTACATTTTCGTCTAGTTCAACAGTAGGACTTTAAAAATAGTTTCTAAATACTTTGCTTGGATCAGTTTATATCCCACTTCAGTCCTAAGGGAAAAGAATATTTTACAGTGTATCCAAATAGTAGGCACTAATTCAGTCTGAGAATTTCAATCCTTACTACCATTTGAACATTTTGATACAGGTTTTCTGCTATAAGATATAATATGCCCATCTCTGTTTTAATTTGTAAAAACAGTTATTAAGATGAATGCTATTAAACGTCTGGCATAAGTCTATGACGTTTTGTTATCGAAACATAAATTCTAATTGAGGATTGAAATCGTTTGAACTAACCAGCATTCTCTCTTCTGTGAATTTGCGGTTAGGTTAAGGTTAGATATTTTGTGACATTATATAGTTTGGTTATAATACGACGATTTCAGCGATCCTTACCTCTTCAGTATAGGTTATTGTAAGAAAACAGTTAGTCCAACTAATCAGGCTTTTCAAAGAAATAGAACATTCACTGTAGGTGTAGAATTGAATATAATTTAACATGATTCTTATACAAATGTATCATCAGTTCAGTTCAGTTTGGGAAGGACAGGAGGCCCGATGGCCTATGTTAGTCCTGGCAATGGTGATCTCTCAGTTGATCCAACTTTCTTTTGAAAGAGTCGACGGATGGAGCCTCAACTACGTGCTGAGGTAGTGAATTCCACTCGTTGATGATTTGATGAGAAAGTCGATAGTCAGCTGACAAGTAATTTGTTCTCGGCTTATGAACATTTTTGGAGTGTCCTCGTAAATTCTCTGTTTTGGAAGACAAGAAAAATGAGGGCATATCAGCTGCAAATTTATCACTAAGCAATTTGTAGACTGTAATCAAGTCGCCTCTAGTTCTGCGATATGACAACGGGAAAAGGTTCAGCTTGCCCAGTCGGACTTCATACGGAAGCTTCGCTATTCCGGGAATCAGCTTGATCGCCGTTCTCTGAACCTTTTCCAGAAGCTCACTGTCTGTCCAGTGTGTCTGGTCTTACTCTCTCAGTTTTATTTTAGTGTAAAACAATGGTTGAAGAAATATAGTGTACACAACAAGTTGCAGATTCTCTCATATCTTCACAATCTCCTGATTTCGGGGATAGTTTTTATCAGTCTTGTGGAAATTTTTGGGGAAGCTACAAAAGCCATAAAATTTCTACCATTTTGTGCTTCTTTATCAAGAAATCTTGAAATTTTTGGTTTTCCTCAAACTTTGGGGGAAAACTGAGGGTTTTGAAGTGACTTTATGGAAAGCTCAGGAATCTCCCCAAAATCCTGAGGTTGGATCATTTAAACTTATCGCTCCTAATTCTTAGTTATCAACACTTCTTAGCAATAGTGAATTTGATTGATGTAACTGATCCTTGTGTGAAATTATCGCCCAACAATTCAACTCGTTACATTTCCGACGCTGAATGAACTATTTCGTGAAGGATAATTGTGACTTGGTTTCATTCAGTTAAGGGTGAATTATAAAACTCCACTCACGCTTGGATGGAACGAAACTTGAGGCTTTTTAAGGAAAGGTATCAAACTTCTGGAACGTAAATGACTAGTAGATGAACAATATTGTTCTACAGATCCCTTAAGTATTACCAAATGTATCTAGCAGCAAACCGTTAATCTGTTTTGTCAGGAAATCTGAAGAATATTTCAATATTTTTTAAAAAGTAGAACTTCAATTCGTCACACTTATTGTGTAATTCGTATCATCATTTGAGTAAGATTTCCAAATTCCCAAGATGAATGATGTAGGCAAAGATGAGGTTAAAATGAGAAAGTTCCCAAGTTTATTTAGTAAAGGTGGATGGGGAATGTAAGTTCTTCCTTTTTAATCGATTCATTATGTTCACTAAGATCAATCTTTTATTACCCTCGTTTATATTCGAGTTCTTGGACGCATATACGACTATTGAAGCAAAGAAGTATTGGCTTTGAAATTTGCCCAAGAAATAAATTCGTAATATGTGGCAGTTACTTGTCGGTCATTCAGTCAGTCAGCTACAACATAGGATCATGTACATATGTGCATGAATCCAAGTTGCTATGCCTCATTAGCACAACAAGATGGACACCGCATTCATAAAAGTAGTTAATTCAGAGGTGGTAATATATAAAAGAAAGATTGCAATAAGGATATAGTACAGGAAGAAAGAATTAGTTCGTAGAAAGAAAGATATGAAGCAATTTTAATCTCAAAGTATAAGGGAAGACAGAGAGTCTATATACCGACGCCACTGTGATCCATTCTGAGCCATGTCACCCAGTCTCCAACCATTGGTTACGATAGTCACGCGGACCCCAACCAAGTAGTCTGCATCTACCAACATGGCTAAGACTAGAAGTTAGTGACTTCAAGCACCGATGCCACGTTTGGGTTTGACCGCTCCTAATTTTCTTTCAACCATCCCCTACACTAGTCAGCATTGTGCGTCGTGGTAATCGGCGTTCAGGCATACGTAACACGTGACCCAACCATCTCAGTCGATGAAGATTCACAACCTCATCCACTGGTTTACCATCATTCTCGAATACCCTGCGTCTAACCTCACTATTACTTACTTGGTGATGCGAGAAGATGCGAGCAATATTTTTAGGGCATCTGTGGTCAAATACTAGTAGCTTACGAGTACGTTCTACTCTTCATGGCCACATTTCGCAGCCAGAACGTAACGAACTGCTGCGCAGTATACTTGTCTCTTAATTGATAGTAGGATATTTCGCCTTCGCCATAGGTGACGTAAGTTGGCAAAAGCCAAACGAACTTTCTGAATCCGTGCCGAGATTTCGTCAAACACCAACCCAGCAGTTACTTGTATTCCTTATTATTTATTTATTTATTATCTGAACACAAATATTGGTACAAAAGGGCACCGAATAGATTTGCGCCATACAAGTCACTTGATTTGTGTGTGGGCTATGATACTTCCCCTGTGCCAAAACCGGAGCAGGTGATTCTCTTAAGGGGACACACCCGGAGCCTTCGACCTAAAGGTCTAATCCACCACCTATTGGGAATGTCCAAAAGCTTTAGGCCGTGTGTTATTCAGTGCTAAAAGTAAAATATGATTTATAGGTTAGCGTCTTGGCTATAAAGGATGTCGATCCCCCCCATGACACCAGCCATTTTCATTCCAAACATTTTCGCGACCCTCGTCTATATTGCGATTGAATTTATCGTGTTGTTAACTGTGATCATTTTTTATTAATTGACATAGGTTCACATGAAATTGAGTGTTCGATTTTTTTTCTTAGATGTCGGATGAGTCTTATACACATTTGTACAAAGGTGCTGTGACTTCAAAACCTGGGAATGAAACTGTCTTAGGGACTCCCGTACCTGTTGCACACTCAACCGTTGGCTACGATAAACTTTCCAACAATCACAAACGTGATCGGTTTCATTTAAATGAAACGCAACAAACTTCTCCGGCTTTTGGAAAACAAACGTATGTTATCAATCCGTTTATCAGAAATCAAAGTTACGACGTCTCTAATTCTAATAATAAAGAATTAAGTATTCTAAACATCGACACAATAAAGGGTAAGTGTCCTAATTTATTTTTTGATTTTTTGTAGGTCTATCTGATAGTGTATTAGATCGTAGTTTACAGAATCCCAAATACAATGAAATATCCAGAAAACTAGGTAAGTCATGAGATTTATTCTAATTTGCTTTCTAAATTAAACGTCACATTAGTGACAAACTCTATACAAAATTTGTGGTTCGAATAATGGATTTAACGTTTATCTGTTACTGTCGTATCCAAATAATGCTCTTGATAAGTTGATTAAAAAATAATGGCCATTCTGTATAAAACAAAAGCTGGCTAAATGATAAAATCGTTACACATCAGTTAATATTATTATTATTTATTATTTCAACACATAAATATCAGTACAAGAGGGCACCAAATATATATGCGCCACACCATATTTGTGTGTGTGGGCTGTGATACTGCCCGGGTGCCCAGACCGAAGCAGGTGGTTTTCTTAGGGGACCACTCCCCGAGCCTTTGACCTAAGGGTCTGATCCACAAGGCAGTGGAACATCGTGAGAAGATGCATACCCATGGTAGCCGGTGACCAGCGATTGGTTCATACTCCATTTGTTCCCTCAGGATACTGGAGCTCATGTGCACCATTGGTTTGGGGTCCGGTTAAAGCGCCGGACATTCGCTTTTCGTGCTCTCATTTTCGTAAACAACACCCCCGCCACGAGAAGGCAATGAGTAGGATTTCCCTGGCAGAGGCTGTATACGCGTGGCCGTGTTGAGAGAATTTCGAGAGGGAGGGCGAACCAACCCCACTCTCGGCCATACTAGGGCATTTGGGGGTTAAAGCGTATGAGTAACACCTCTGTTTTAAATAGACTATAATTCTTTGCCGACTAAAGTTCCCCACACAAAAGAGAGTTGAGAACTAGGCAAATAAAAATTATAGATATTTCAAAGTGAACTTCTACGAATCAAATCGTCACGTTGCTAATCACAATCGATATTCGTGTTATGCATAATTCACTGTGTATTTTGTAATTTATATTCTGAATTCAAGTTTTTAATTTATGATCAGATTTAGGAAATAGAAATAAGCAGATGGATACCTTTAAAGTTGAAAACTGTCAATCACTAGCAAATCTGTCGACTGATATGGAGACTCAACAAAAAATACAATTTGATGATGAGGAATTGAAGATGCTGGAAGAAGCTTTCAGCGACTTTGATTGTGAAGCATCTGAAGCGACTGCTCCAACTCGAGTTTGCGAGACATTTGCTCGTCGAGTATCGTGTGATTTACTAGACGTTGAAGAACAATGTTCAAATGGAAATAGCACATCAGTTTCTTCCCTGTCATCTAGTGAAGGTATCTGTGATGTTGATGGCAGCAATGTTGGCGTTGTCGACCTAGTCAATCCTAGTGTTTCTACCCATTCATGTAATATCCCTCAGGTATGTGAATAGAGCCCTGTTTTCTCATTTATTTTCTACGTTCTAGGACACGCACGTGAACAAAAACAGATTTTCATATTTGATTAAATACCTATAAAAGCTTAAAAGTTGAACTTTCGTTGATCTTTTAATTACTTTCTTCGTATTTATGTTTGAAAAAGCCACTCGATGAATTACTAGAGTACTTTATTCTTCCAAAGTTTTCTTGGTAAAATGTATTTGAAAATCTAACCTCAGGATCTGAACAACCTCATTTGCTCGATGTTAAATTATTGAGCTGTGTAGTGAATTATTGCGTCTGTAAGTTTGAAATAAACTGGAATTTCGTTTTTTTATCCTGTGCCTTGATGCACTTGACCTGGAGCTGCTTGCTCAGCTTTTTGTTCTACTCATTCACAGATTACCAATTTTATGGGTAATTTCGGTGATGTTACGAATAGCACAAATCTTTGGTCGTAGCCAGAGGTACTTTATAACTAATTTGTGTACTCGATGTTTTGTTCTGCAGCTGTTTATGATTAGTCCAAAGTATCCTTTCCCCCTTTGAATTTTACGTAAATATCATAACCATAACAATGGATTTAGAACTTCAGTTCGTTATTATTATAGTATGGAGCTTTGGCTTAGTGGTTAAGGGATTTGAATTTCCCCTCACCTAGTCCTAGATCCGAACCCCATCACATCTACTGTCTGGACAACCGGATATTATCATTAGCAATTACCCTTAGAATGTGGCTCGCACCCAAATGCGTGATGAATTAGAGAATTCATGATATTATTATTAATATTATAGTGTAAAAACAATCCATACAACGTTATACGGTGTCCCGATGCTCTTCCATTCAACTACTGATGATTGTAATTAAAAATTTTAAAGATAGAGGAATACTTTCATCTTTATATGGTGCGAATAATATAAAACATCATTCAAAATATTTGGATATAGGTATAGTTAAAGCATCTAGCCATTATAATTTGCTAGAAGTTATAAAATTCATTTTTCTCAGAACATGTAGTGAACATTTGTCTAGGGAATGGATACCCAATTGATTCTCACCATACTGTATGTACATACTATCAGCATTAGAAGAAGTATCTGGAAATGGTTACCATAATTAATGACTACAGATTTGACGAAAAGGGCCTCTGATAGAAAAGTATTAAGTTGGTCAAAGTGGTATCGAAAATTAGGAATTCTCATTTGTTATTATTTCAATTATTTCAAACCCATCACCACTAAAACAGCATAAAATGAATATAGTTTCCCATCTAAATATGTTAAGAATTAACTAAAATAATGTCTTCTATGGGTATCCAAAACAACCAAATATTTATGTGATGATGCAAAGCTAGAATATTAATTACTTATCAAATGCCTGATTTCATCTCTAATTCACTGCTTGCGTTTAAGATCACTAGAATATGACATGGGATATTTGGCTGAGTGATTTCACCACGAAGACGTTCATACAAGTTCTGAGTCCTACTAGATCACTTTATATTACAAAGAACCTTAACGTCTGTTGGTACATACAGTTCATTATATTAAAGCTTATATAATGAGGTTGAATAAAACTTGTCTAGTATCCAAAAGAAACGTATCGTATAAGAACTAAGAAGACGTAAATATTGAGTCCCAGTCATCTTGAAAATAGCAACATCGTTGAATATAATGTGTTTATTCTCAAGATTACGAACATAATTATAACTGAGTGAATAGCACGGTAATCTGTATTGAAAATAGTCGAATGAAAAGTGAATGCATGATTTGTGAGTAGTAAACAAACGATTACCATTACTAATAAGTTTTAAACCTTTACTGAAAAATTACTTTATAAAATATCGACATATTTTCTTCTAAGTAAAATATCCTATGTACATTTTGAACATTTCAATGTATGAGATTATTCCCATAATGGATAACAAGCATAACACTGATAATACTGAGTTAGTCAAATATAGCAAGACTGTGAGTACCTAAAGTGAAGGATAACACATTGATTATTGTTTTAGGTAGTTATTGTAGCTTGTCTCAAAACAAGGAAATATGTACATCCACAAGGCTGTAAGGTGTTAAGACTTTATTATGAGCATAAGTCATCAATTATCATGTGGTATGACTTAGTGCATTTTGTAAAGAATACACCACACTTTTATAACAAATGGTAATACGAGAGAGGAATAAAATAAAAAGTAAGCTACATTATGTTCTTTGAATCCTATCAATAATTGTGATCCTATTTGTGAGTTTCTAAGCTTGGGGTGCTAAGGATACATCTTCACTTCCGTTTCAGTAGATGATTCATTGATTATAGTAATAGTAGGTGTTACGTCCATTTGGCGATACCGGATAAAGTTCACACATGGAAGTCTCATCCCCTGCAACACCATACTAGATAACAACTTGAATCAGACCACTATTTCATCGTTTTTGTGTATTTGTGTTCACCTAAATGCCTCCAAACATGACCTCATATAAATATTCTATCCTTTTGTGTATGCAATTCACAATATTATTGTAATTTCTTTCTTCATCTACAGACCACGGAATTGCCAACTCTAGTTTCAGAATGTCATTCGAAGAACACTATCGAAAAGCAAGCAGACTCTTCAAAGAATGAGTGTGGCCAATCAATTTTAAGACCTCAAAACAAAAATTATTCACATTTGCCTTGCCTTACTGGTTTATCATCTGTTTTTGAAGTTGACTCAAATGAAACCAAGGTACATTTTTATATTATGTTTGAGTTTGGTTCTGTTTTTGTTCGATTATATGATGTACTATCAATAAAGTGGAAAACAGCCTTTCAATACGAAACCATATTCTAATAGAGGAAAACAGACGACAGAGCCATTAAGGTACATGAAACTTGTAAAACGAAGAAATAGTCGCACTAAACAAAATTGTTGAAGCAACATATTAAGTTTTAACATTCATATGTGAACCCAACCAGAATTTCATAGTCAACATTGTTAGCTTTTTCTCGAAAATCTACTGATCTCGATAATAACTAAAAATTCCCACATTTACCATTAAGTATTGCCACTATGTGCATTGAAAACATACATTTCATCATTTTTTGCTGTGGAATCAATGATATAGAGCTCACGATATGCCTCTGAGAGTATATTGTGTGTAATTTTTTGGATATTGTTTTCTCCAAACTGGTTAGGTCATTTGTGAGATTTTCACTGTCCTTCTAGACAACAATATCATCTGCACAACTTTCTAAAGGATTTTTTCCCCCTACATCAAAGGTAGTAATAATAAATCACAGTATATCTTCCGAATAGAAAATGTGTCTTAAGCATACTAGAATTCCTCAAAATTAAACGAATTAATTAAGTGGAAGATAGTGTGATAACTCGGATAGATAATTTCACATTCGTTTATCGTACGGTTTCTGACGTGCTATTTGATTTATCTCGATTGAATGACTTCAAGGATTTAACAAGAAATCATCAATCACATTAGAGAATTACCTTCGTTTTTAATCAAATGAGGGTTGTAATGTAGGAATAATTCAACTAGATTTGTCATTAGTTTTATTCTGGAGACATGTCTAAAAGTATTGTATAATGGCACAGATAGACCTGAATATGAACTTTTTGGCTGAATATAGGAACATCATATATACTTACTACGTAATAAAATTCTCTTGCTCAAGTTGCCACTAATCATTTGCTGGCAGATATCTTAAAATATTTAAACTGAAAGCACTTTACCAGATTGATTAGAACATGTACCTGCCCATAGATGTGACCTTTAAAAATCGTCAAGAATTCCACATATCTAACTGGTATTTAATATGAGAGATGTGGTGCGGAAATCAGTTCAGCACATGTTAATCTAGACCATAATGTTTGTCTTAGTGACGTTATTTTAGTACTAAATAACATGGTTTACACCACCTAGGTATTTGAACTTTCCTTACCTGTAAAACCTGTCACCTAAAGCTGAGAATGATTGATGAATCCATATGTTAAATCATCCTTGGATTTGCAGTATTTTCTCAGTAGGCGACACCTTATAAACAACTATGAATTATGGCAATGTGTTTATCCTTTTAAGTGGTAAAGTTACTCCTCTTAATTAACGTTGGCAATCAAGATACATTCTGTTCCACTGACAACTTTATTGATTGCATTTTGCTGCCTATGGGATGCACTAATAAAAGCTTATTATTTATTTATTTATTTATTTAATTTATTTAATTAATTAATTAATTTATTTAAACACATAAACATTGATACACGAAGGCACCAAATTGATGTACGCCACATAAATCATTCGATTTTTGTGAGGGCTGGGGTACTGCCCGGGTTTCCAAACTGAAGCAGGTGGTTTTCTTGGGTAGCCACACCCCAAGCCTTTGACGTAAAGATCTGGTCCACAAGGCAGTGGAGCAATGTAAGGAGATGCAGTCCCATGGTCGCCGGTGACCAACAATAGGTTCATACATCCATGTGCACTATTGGTTTGGAATCAGGGTTTTCCAATTCACCTAGGTGGATCCTCCGTATCCACCAACACGGTTTTGTAAACAACAGTAATGCCTCGAGAAGTCAGTGAGTTATTGGAATGGAGATTACTTGTTCCAGATAACTTTGAAATCCTTGATCCCAGACGACACCATGCATACCATAACTTAGAAGAATCAACATGCCTCGCAACCGGGAAAGTCGTTCTGCAGCTTTCTGTTGTCTTCCATACAACCAATACTACAGATCTTTAATAGAAGCTAAATTCATCTTGATCTAATTATTCAATTTATTGACTGATTTCACCCAAGCATTAAAGCTGGGGAATCGCTCCATATTTTCTCCTAGCATATAAACTTCTTACAATTTGGTAATATGTACCTTAACCATGAGATTTGAATAATTAACCTCCGCGTGAAAGTGTAGATGACAATGATGGCACAATTTAAGCAGACATAATAGTGGCAGTGATAAATCATACTATACTAATGATAACTAGAAGTGTTTATTAAGATTATAAATCGTATATGGGATCTGTGTAAATGAATAAACTAATATGGAATTAATAAACTGTAGATTGTACTATGTAGGTTAAACGAATTAAATATTTGTTCATAGAACTGAATGGTTTAAAAATACTAGCAAAGGTTTTAAGTGAGAAAAATTAAAAGAATGTGAATACAAATCTAATGAGGGTGAATCTATTGTATGTAAAAAAGTAAGATCTACATTGATGTTCGGCTTCATGCGTAGCTAAAGCTTTTGCTTCATAAAATTAGCATCAATTGAATTTAGGAGAATGTGGGCAAATTCTGGAATAAATTACAGTTGGCATATTATAATTTGAGTAGTAGTAAAAGTACTTAAGGATAGAAATTTCGCCTGCTCGACTTTTGTTCTTGTAAAATCACATTTTATGAATGTCATCATAGCAGCTTCCATATGTTGGATTAATGGATGACAATACTACTGGTTAGGTGGTCGGTATGCTACTTGGCGCGGTGGTATGGAAAAAAGGTCTGGGCACCCGGGTAGTATCACAGCCTACACACAAATCAAGTGACTTGTGTGGCGCATATGTATTCTGTACCCCTTTGTACCAATGTTTGTGTTCAGATAAATAAATAAATGATAAAAAGCTACATAGAATTCGCATCTGGCGATTCATCGTAATTCGCTTATTGGGTCCTAGAGTGCTCGATAATACATAGCACAATAAATCAATGTACATGTGTTTGTACAGTCAAACTGTGAAGTCTCGTCCTCTTTCTATCATAAAATATTGTACCAGTCATGTTCACTTCTTAAATGTGTGTGTTTGACGGTAGTTTATCTACAACGTACTGTTATCAAAATCATTAAATTATTGTTTCGATTCTGAGTGATAAGAAGACCGTTCGTTATTATTTCTGTTACCTCCGAAAAGTACTTTCTTAGTTCCACTACATTGAAAATAGCTGGTCATTTATGGTCTCTGCAGTTTGAACTCATAAGTACTAATTTTAGAAACATACAAATCGATTTAAGTGTCATTCTTGATTCGATTGATACATTTTTAGTTGTTAATCATTATCGTTCGACTGACTTTTGACTTATTTTCTCCAGCGAAATGCTTTTATCAGTCTAGTTGGTTTTTAGACATTTGCGTTAAGTTCCACAAGATATACCCTGGACTTTACTTTTAATCACATCAAGTTAGCTCAAATACAATTCGCATCAAAAGTAGACGTTTCTTGTAAATTAACTTATCCACCGTAGAATATTAACTGTTTGGTTGCTAATAAGGTGATTTTTAGTCAACTTACAGGATTTTTATAAATTAGTTCTGGACAATTTTTGTTCAGTCTTTAGTAAGGTACATCTCCACTGGATTTTGGATTTCACAGAGGCTCATGAAGTGCTATCTTAAACCTGATTAGTTCGCTCAAGGTTGTCTGCACAGTCTAATTTTACCTGTTTTAGCAAATATAGATAACCTTTATGTAGTCAGAGAATTTCTCAGTCTGTTGGTTAGCGTTACGATTTTATACTTTTACTAAAGTATGTTTTTAAAAAAAATATTTAACCGTTCTGTTTTTATGGTATATTCTTTTTAAATATAACAGTCCGATGATTGCGTACAACCTAACTTATGCCCAATAACTACATCGCCTTTAAAACTAAATCAAGCAATAACAGTCTCACCAGTACAGAATCTAATCAGTCACACTTCAAAATGTATAAATAATGAACCAATCCAATCTATGAACAGAAATAATAATTTATCAACCCAAACACAAGTGACAGAACAGAACTTATCCAGTAAAAGTTCACATCCTTCACAAAAAGTAAATAACCTTAGTGATGCCAGCAGTTTGAAACTGAAACATTTGAATTTGAATCAATCAGATATATCACATGTTGATATCAGTTGTCTACATATGTCCGATATTGACAGTTTGTTAGATATGATTACAGCTACGGGTAAGCAGCCGGATGATGACAAACTGGAATCGGTTTCTCGTCACAATAAATTATCTTCACATTTAGAAAAACAACTTGAGGCTGTTAGACAAGCTCTAAGATCTAATATTCCTAGTAATACAGTTAATTCTAGTAAAATCCCAGCTGGTGTAAACGGAAAACAGCCAAATTTTTCACAATCCAAAGTAAGCATTACAAATTCTCATATACTAAATGTTAACAATCACATGTTTCTTTCAATTTTTGTGTGCTTATTCAAACATGTTTTATGATATCTATTATCGGGAATTAATATTGCTCCTTTTTATTTTGTACACATATTTCAATGTTACTGGAAACTAGGTCTACTCTATCACGTCTCACATAAAGTTTTAAAAGCCGTTCCAAATAAGACAGTAGATTTTCAATGCTTACTTACATTATTAATTGAACTCAATATCATTATCACTGACCCCATCAGCATTGCAATTTATCATTTAAACAGTATTTAGTCACTAGTTGTAAATCACATCTGCATACTTTGATTTAAGTACTCTGTCACTATCTTTCTCAATACGTTCGTCATTCTAAAATTTGTGAACAAACTTGCACGTGATGATTACTGAGTTATATCTTAAATTGTATTTTGTTTTTGGTAAATATTAATTTTGGAGTTTGTGAAATGCTTTCAGCTTGAATACAACCTACATATTCTTGTACCATTTTTTCACTACCGTATTATTGATATGCTTGTCAACCCATTTACTGTATCGTAATATCGTGGAACAATATATGAGACTTTTTCTTATGTTCCTTATTCTTTAACCAGTATTATCCATACTTTTTTAATTTTACTGTTTTGGAGGTAGCATTGTTCAGAGAATATAATGCTTCTTCGGAAGCCTCCTCCTGAGCTGCAAATATTCCCCATTATCTCACGATTTTACTATTTTTTATCATCGTGGTGAATTCAATATTATCTGTACCGAATAATTAGAAAAAAAACAACATAAAATTATTGTTTATCAGCGGTCAGCAATTATTATCTAACTCATTTACTTTCGCCTATTTAGGGACTTGTCACTGTTATAACTTGTGACCTTGTACCCTATTAACATATAAGCGTAATGATACCGCCAATTAGATAACAGTGAATTATCGACCGGACCAATGACGCATGAAACCCGTTCGAGCCGTCTGGTCTTTATCGGTCTTTATTCCTGCCTAGCCCTGTCTGTTAAATCCAGAACACCAATATCAGCCTTTACAATATGAACCACGTATTTCAAACATACTGGGTTTATATACAAACCAAACAGACCACATCGTACCATAAAACAGAAAATAACATTTGTACAAGATCTAGCCAAAAAGTGGTTGTGAATGTGATATAATAGACTCAAGAACGGTAAATCGTATAACAATAGTTTATGGGTCAAAATAAAGTTTATAATAAGAGAGACATGAATATGCATAATTTAGCTACTTAACATTTATACAATAAAAATATATGTATAGTAATAGTCCAGAAATAGATTCCAACAGTCACCATTCATTATTCTCATCGGGATACAACAATCACTTGAATATACTTGTATCTTACTAAGATCAAACGCAACTGGTATTTTTGGGAAGGATTGGAACAAAACTAGAATCACGATGGTTAAAATATCCCATTAATCCGTGAATTCATTGATTACTGGTCTGGTTCGAAACCGTAGATAGAGGTTTCCAGCTTGGGATCTGTGAAGTATTCCTATTCAATTGTTGGAGTCTTTGGGGCATGTGGGACCGAAATCTGCCACAGTGAAGCAGTTTTATTCGTTTTTCTAGATCATTTTATTTACCTTGAACAAAGAGTCATGGCTTACTTTTTGTTCCTTTATCTAATTTTTTCCCGCCATAACACTAGTTCTGATGGTCAAAGACAACTGGTGTTATTTTCCCTTTTATAATTCTCATCTTGTTAACTTTACATATATCCGTGCTTATGTGTAGTTTGACTTCGAAATGATTCATATCCAAGCTACTCTCCTCATCTAAATTTACAGGGGTTGAACTCCTACCAGGAGGTTCACTTGTTGACTTAGAATATGCAGATGACATAGTTTTATTTGGTGAAGACGCTGACAAAATGCAGAGTCTTCTGACCACTCTAAGCAACAATGCAAGCATGTTCGGGATGCGATTCTCCCCCTCGAAATTCAAAATGTTGCTTCAGGATTGGGTTACATCGACACCCGAACTAGTGATAGGGAGTGAAGTAGTTGAGTGTGTCGACCGCTTCACTTATCTTGGAAGTCTCATCAGCCCTTGTGGTTTGGTGTGTGACGAAATCTCAGCACGGATACAGAAGGCTCGACTAGCTTTTGCCAACTTGCGTCATTTATGGCGTAGGCGAGATATCCGTCTATCAACCAAAGGACGTGTTTACTGCACAGCAGTTCGTTCCGTCCTACTTTATGGCAGTGAAACATGGCCGGTAAGAGTAGAGGATATCCGTAGGTTACTAGTATTTGATCATAGGTGTCTTCGAAACATTGCTCATATATCATGGGACCATCGAGTAAGTAACACAGTTGTTAGGAAACGGGTACTAGGTAAGGATGGCAAATCAATTGATGAAGTAGTGAAACTTCATCAGTTGAGATGGCTGGGACACGTGTTACGTATGCCCTACGACCGACTGCCTCGACGTGCTATGTTCAGTGGTATAGGAGTAGGTTGGAAGAAAGCTAGGGGCGGCCAAACCAAAACATGGCACAAGTCCATGAAGTCACTGACAAGTGAACTGAGTCATGTTGGTAGGTGTAGACTACCTGGTTGGGGACCGCGAGATGACAGCAACCGATGGTTAGAGACCCTGAATGACATGGCTCAAAATCGTTTGCAATGGCGCAGGTGCATCCACTCTCTGTGTTCTCCCAAACTCTAATCTTCTGAATTCTTCATGTCCCTTTTTTCCTCTTTCCAAATTTATTTCACTGGATTATAGTCCTTGAATAACATCTCCAAACCCTAATCTTCCCGATTACTGCTTATACTCTTATTACCTCTATCACTACGGGATTTGAATCGACAAGTGCATCTCTGTGCTAATGTGGTGTGGCAACTCGAACTGATGTACGTACGTACGAAGTTCTACGTTGTTACTGACTGACTACATTTCACGTTAATGACTGTTTACTGACATAAATTCAAAAGGTGGGACTATAATTTACGGTTTTCATCACGAACTGATATAAGCTAAAATGCCAAGACGCTATTTGGGCGTACGGATGAGTGAATTTCGCGCCAAAATACAAGACCTGTTATCTCGAATCTGGTTGGTTCGTCCATAAATTCTACTCTCGCCATCCAAAATTTAGAGGTCTGTCTGCTTAGATAAAAACTATGACCACTTTTGGTTAACTGTTTGCAAGTGTTTGTTTACTTCCAAGAATTTAATGCTCAGTAATTTTTTACTAATTTGTTTCTTCAGGTTGTTTGTCTTTTACTTCATGTCATTATTTGGTGCTGGTTGACGTTTTAATACGAGACGCATGTTCCGCAATATTTAAAAATACATCCCATCACAACATCGAATCTTTAATCATATGTCCCCAAATGCCCTGGTATGACCGAGAGTGGGGAGAGTCCGCTCTCCCTCTCGAAATGCTCTCACACGGCCACGCGTATATAGCCTCTGCCAGGGAAGTCCTACTCATCGCCTTCTCGTGGCGGGGTTGTTTACGAAAATGAGAAGACGAAAAGCGAATGTCCGGCGCTTTAACCGGGTTGCTGGACATGGAGAGTCCACCTAGGGGAGTTGGAAAACCCTGATTCCAAACCAATAGTGCACATGAGCTTCAGTATCCTGAAGGAACAAACTGCGTGTGAACCAATTGTTGGTCACCAGCTATCATGGGACTGCATCTCCTTACGATGCTCCACTGCCTTGTGTATCAGACCTTCAGGTCGAAGGATCGGGGTGTGGCCCCCTAAGAAAACCACCTGCTTCGGTTTGGGCACCCGGGCAGCATCACAGCCCTCACATATATCAAATGAGATCTGTGTGGCGCATATGTATTTGGCACCTCCTTGTATCAATATCTATGTGTTAAAATTGTTTATTTTCAGGTGGATGCACTAAAGGAAAATATTCCTCCTACAAATACAACTAGTTCTGGCCAGAATGTAACTCACAGAAAAAAACTATCTCATTATCCTAATCCGGATGTTCCACATGTGCCTGCGAATCCATCAGCTAAATCCCATTCGATTAATGCTACAAACGAGAATCCATCAGTTCATGACGGATCTGTAATCCCGCAAAAAGATTCTTTCTCTCTAGAGGTGTTAAAATCTCAAAATATTCCTATTCTATCAAATACTAACTGCTTAATTTGGGCTGGTGCAGTTTGTGGACAGATACAGTGAGTGAATTTTTTATTAAATCTCATGTGAACTCCACCCTGAGACATGATGTATCTGATTTTATTCTGTAGTTTGAAGCACATTGAATGCAAATATTGTGTGCATGTCATATTACAATATCTTAATTTTGTCATTTACATCTTTTCATTTCCTAACACTCAAGTCTTATCATTTTCGATTGATTTCCGCTGTTACCCTGTTGCAAATTACCAATCCAAACCGAAGTCTGTGTCCAGACTGAATTGCATTCTTTATGACCATGTTTTCAAACAAACTAACCAATTTGTAGAAATATACACATCTAACAGTAGCAAGGCGAAAGTATGTACATCATGACTGATATTTTAACAAATTAATCGCAAATGTTTGTTAAATGATGCTTGCCAGTTCGAACATACTGAATTATTCTTGTGTACTGAATGGTGGATGAGCTATTTTTGTCTGTAATTGTGAATAATTAGTGTTACGGCTGCTTTAATTTCCAGGTCTTGTTGTCTAACATCTGGAGGTTAGGACTATCTCTTTATGCTTTCAGAGATGACTTTTATATCTGTGAATTTACGTTTACACTTATTTGAAACAGTTTGTGTTTCTATCTATCAACATGTGCTCACTAGTGACTAGCTTCGTGAGGGAATTCTCGGAGTTCTAGTGAGAAGCCGTGATCAGTGGAGCTAATCCATGCCGGGTAGAGACAGGTATCTACCTCAGTACAATGGAAGTTGGTCGCGCAATTTCGTGGATTGTTTGATGTTAGACACTATCACCATTGGATGCCGGCTCAGTGGTCCAGTAGGTTAAGCGTTCGCGCGCGAGACCGAAGGCCCTGGGTTCGAATCCCGCTCGCGGGATCGTGGATGTGCACTGCCGAGGAGTCCCACAATAGGACGAAACGGCCATCCAATGCTTCCAGGTTTCCAACGGTGGTCTAACATCAATCGGTTCATGATCTCAACCAAAAACCTAATAATCTCCACAACCCCTATACTAGTAAATGTTTTCTTTTGTAGTCAGAGTATATAAATTTATGTATTCCAAGTATTTTAAATGTTTTTACAGACGAAACATAGATATCATTTACTGATTCATCAAAACTGTCTTATTCATGGTTTACTAATTAAGCTGTAATCGAACTCTGTATTACAATGCTGATATTTCATAAGTACTACAAAATAGTTCAACGCTAATTGATATCATGGAGAATCAGCCAGTCAGTCAGCTACAACATAGGATCATGTACATATATGCATCGGTCCAAGTTGCCATACCTCATTAGCACAACAAGATGAACACCGCATTCATAAAAGTAGTTAATTCAGAGGTGGTAATATATGAAAGAAAGATTGCAATAAGGATATAGTACAGGAAGAAAGAATTAGTTCGTAGAAAGAAAGATATGAAGCAATTTTAATCTCAAAGTATAAGGGAAGACAAAGAGTGTATACACCGACGCCACTGTGATCCATTCTGAGCCATGTCACCCAGTCTCCAACCATTGGTTACGATAGTCACGCGGACCCCAACCAAGTAGTCTGCATCTACCAACATGGCTAAGACTAGAAGTTAGTGACTTCAAGCACTGATGCCACATTTTGGTTTGACCGCCCCTAACTTTCTTCCAACCATCCCCAACACCGGTTAGCATTGCACGTCGTGGTAATCGGTGTTCAGGCATACGTAATACGTGGCCCAACCATCTCAGTCGATGAAGATTCACAACCTCATCCACTGATTTACCATCATTCCCTAATACCCTGCGTCTAACCTCACTATTACTTACCCGGTGATCCCAGCAGACGCCAGCAATATTTCTGAGGCATCTGTGGTCAAATACTAGTAGCTTACGAGTGTCTTCTACTCGACCATTGTTGCTACCTTGACGTGGTGGTCGGGCTTGCCTTTCGTGATGAAGCAACCGAGCTATACTGGCTGGAACAACTGTTCCTCAAGGTCTTACCATGTCAGACAGGTCGGTTGAAGAGCGCTAAGACTAAAAGCAACAAACCCAAGGTCCGAAGGCGAAGTCGTACTGCTGACTGTACAGAGGTGTGACAGCAGTAAATTGTTTCCTTCAGACAACCAGCATGACAGCGATGCTGCCTTCCCACAAGGAGGGGTGAGGTTAGTAAAGGTCGACCCTAAAATGCACACCTCACCTTATCCCACGGATATCCGTCTCCGGCGGTAAGGTCCCAAAAAGTACGGGGCTAACACAAAAATTGCCCATAAAAAGGTCGTGTGTGACCGACCTCAAGCAGTTGTCCCTTGGGTACTGCGGTCACGCTCCCAGGTCACTAAGACCACCTCTAATCCAATTTCCTTTTCAGGTACCTCCAAAAGAACCCTTCCACGGTGTGGGCATCCGGGAAGTGATAACCGCCCTCATACCTCTAACAGCACTCAAGACCACTGTATTCATATCATGGAGGATGACAATTACTTTCTTTTAATTCACTACTCACTGTACAATGAGTGGTAGTAGCTAGATATATTTGTTGACGTACTCTAAATTACACTATCGATTTGTACCCCAGATCCTTTGTATTAAGGAAGTTCTTTATTACTACACCAAACATTTTTAATTTTCTGAAAAGGAGAGCAATATACACTTGTTTGCGTACTTAAATTAATGTCTCCCAAGAATCGAATTTCCCCTGTTTTTCCTTTCGGTTTTTTTCTCCATATATAACTTATCATTTCCTATCTCAAAACCACACTGTGGTCAACAAAAAATTTGGACAATGTGTAGATAGTTTTCATATTTGTCCATTATTAGCTGACGTTGTGAATATATATAAATTGCTTTACTTAAATTATCATGTTCTTTTTCTTCGTACAAACGATTAACCTATTGTCGACAACAAATTATAATCTTATTGTTATCCTTTTTTTGCTTTAGTCGACAACATTTCCTTATCAAACATCAAATGGACAAACCGACTACCATATCATTTGTCGTTCACCCCAAATCAGAAGTGTTTAAAGTAGGTCTTAAATATTGTTCCCTTTTTGGTTAAATTAAAAAAGATGTGGAAATCTAATTTTTCTTATATACTTATTTATAAAGGATAAGTCCAGTTATTCGACGCTTAATTACACTTTTTGAGGGGGATCTTTGATATTTCTCCTTGTTTGTCTAAACTAAATTAAGCGAAGTTGAATCATTTCAAGTTACAAGCCGAATTCTTTAATAATTTAGCCATCACTCAAATGGCTTAGACAACATAAAACATACAGTATTTTATGTATGGTTAAAGAATTAATTAGCTTGTTACATCTTTGTAAAAGGGCATACAATCAGCTGTGGAAACAGCAGTGACATCTATTAGTGACTTAAACCACAGAGTTGCAAGGAACCAGTGGATTTCTTCAAGGTCTGTCACACTGATGGATTCTCGCAAACTCGTCCCATCAGGTTCTGAACATGATGAAGAGCGAAAACAAATCAGATCTAGGTTAAGAAAAAGTCTAAGAAACGACCGTGAGCAATGGTGGGCAACGAAAGCAAAAGAGATGGAAATGGCGGCGGCTATAGGAAACACAAGACAGCTTTACAGACTAATAAAAGAAACTGGAATTAATAAGTCAAGTGTAAGTGAGATTATTTCGGAAAAAGATGATACTCTCATCTGCTCCCAGTCCAGACGTTTAGAACGATGGGCGGAACATTTTAGAGAACACTTCAGCTGGCCTTCAGCTACTCTACAACTACCCTCCATTCCCAGGCAATGTGAATGGAACATTGAAGTAGGTCCCCCAACTCTTGCTGAAGTTCAAAAGGCTATAGTTAATCTGAAACGAGGAAGGGCAGCTGGTCCAGATGGATTGGCTCCAGAGGTGTTTGAGGATGACGGTCCAATTTTAGCGATTAGGTTGACTAATATTTTAGCTAAGATCTGGGAGTTAGACTTTATCCCATCTGACTGGTCGCAATCACTTATCGTCCCAATATATAAGAAAGGGTCAAAATCATCCTGTGACAACCACAGAGGGATTAGTTTAACAAACATAGTATCTAAAATACTGGCCTCGATAATTATCAGACGTCTAACTAAGACTCGTGAACTACAAACTCGAGAGGACCAAGCTGGCTTTAGACCTGGTTGTGGCTGCATCGACCACATATTCACCATTCGTCAGGTTCTAGAACACAGGCATACCTATCGGCGTCCGACGATGGTGGTCTTTCTTGACTTAAAAGCAGCGTTTGACTCTGTAGACCGCGAGACTCTGTGGCAGTGTCTGTCATTGAAAGGCGTACCTCAGAAGTACATAAACCTTGTGAAGGCTCTTTACTCGAACACTACTAGTCGAGTCAGGGCTTATGGCGAACTGTCATCTACTTTTGCAACTTCAAGTGGTGTCCGTCAAGGCTGTCCACTTTCTCCATTTTTGTTTAACTTCATCATAGACCTATTGATGGAAATAACACTCTCGTCGACTGAATTCTCGGGTATTGATCTCCTTCCAGGAGGTCCACTTATCGACTTAGAATACGCAGATGATATAGTCCTGTTTGGTGAAGACGCTGACAAAATGCAGAGTCTTCTGGTAGCACTAAGCAACAATGCCAGAATGTTTGGGATGCGCTTCTCTCCCTCTAAATGCAAGTTGTTGCTTCAGGACTGGTTTGCGTCAACACCTGAACTAAGGATAGGGAGTGAAGTAGTCGAACGCGTCGACAACTTCACTTATCTTGGAAGTCTGATCAGCCCTAATGGGTTGGTGTCTGACGAAATCTCAGCACGGATTCGAAAAGCTCGTTTGGCTTTTGCCAACTTACGTCACCTTTGGCGGAGGCGAGATATCCGTCTATCAATAAAAGGACGAGTATACTGCGCGGCAGTCCGTTCTGTCTTACTTTACGGCAGCGAAACATGGCCTTTAAGAGTAGAAGACACTCGTAAGCTATTAGTATTTGACCACAGATGCCTTAGAAATATTGCTGGCGTCTGCTGGGATCACCGGGTAAGTAATAGTGAGGTTAGACGCAGGGTATTAGGGAATGATGGTAAATCAGTGGATGAGGTTGTGAATCTTCATCGACTGAGATGGTTGGGCCACGTATTACGTATGCCTGAACACCGATTACCACGACGTGCAATGCTAACCGGTGTTGGGGATGGTTGGAAGAAAGTTAGGGGCGGTCAAACCAAAATGTGGCATCAGTGCTTGAAGTCACTAACTTCTAGTCTTAGCCATGTTGGTAGATGCAGACTACTTGGTTGGGGTCCGCGTGACTATCGTAACCAATGGTTGGAGACTGGGTGACATGGCTCAGAATGGATCACAGTGGCGTCGGTGTATACACTCTTTGTCTTCCCTTATACTTTGAGATTAAAATTGCTTCATATCTTTCTTTCTACGAACTAATTCTTCCTTCCTATACTATATCCTTATTGCAACCTTTGACCTAACCACTCCTATGAATCCGGTGTTCATCTTGTTGTGCTAATGAGGTATGGCAACCTGGACCGATGCACATATGTGCCTGGTCCTACGTTGTAGCTGACTGACTGACTGACTTGTAAAAGATACAGAAATTCAGTGTTAAGAACTATCGTTTTCCAATCCATTATAGTCATTGGAATTATCTATGTGTAAGTTTGGTTGTATGTTTTAATCACTGTGATGATTCTTTACCCCATTTAAATTAGAACACATTTCACCCTTAAACACAATTAAAAAATGCTCTGATAAAAAGAGTTCGAGAATAAAACTTATTTTAGCAACCTGGTCCGTTAAAAATCTGAAGGTATACTAAGTAGTGATAAACAATACTTGCTTGCTGTTATACAAGACGTCTTGTTTCATCGGGTATTGACTGATACTTAAATTTTAAACTTACATTTTCCTGAAACATCATTGTGGTTTAGTAGTTATTTCTTCTGTCTGTAGGGAGTTTGTGGGGATTGTTGATTTCCCTTCTATACATTTAAATAACCATCAGAATCTAAAAAGCACTGGACAGCTGTTTGATTCTAGTATATTACTCAGGAGTACACATCCTCGATCCCACTGAGGAATCGGGCTTGGGATTTTTCGATTTCGGAGCAAGCCTCTAACCACTGATTCACCATCCAATGGTATACCCAGTCACCCACAAATGATAGCGGAAGATGATTGCACATTATCGTGAATTGACTGAAGTTAGATCCTGACTCTGTTTTCTAAAGGTTAGACGCTTGCTTCGAAACCTGGAAGGTCCTTGATTTGTTCCCTGACAGATTTTTTGTTGCGCGGTGTAAAGTCTTATGATAGAACGAAACGTCTGTCTAATGCTTTCTGGTTTTCAAAAGTTGCCTAATTAAAGTCAGTCTGTGATGTAAACTATCGATTCAACCTAGTAGATAGTCTGCCTTCTCACAGTGAATATGAATTGAATTGGTATACATTACTCTGTAATTGGCTTTTATTACCTAAAAATTGTTGTAATTCTGAAATCTCGTGAATTGTCATATATTTTCAATGTTCAGGTTGTTTATGTTCAGTTGTTATGAAAACAACAATAGTTTATGAGGACAATTGACCTAGTGCGAAAGAACTACAAACCTCATTCCCTAGTAAGCATTGAGATTCAATCAAGGTAAATAAAGTAATTTGGCGATCAGTATTGTTGCCAAGTGTAATTTTATTTAGTGAGTTGATTTACACGAATCTATTGGGCTATTTCTTTCATATCCTTTACACACAGTTATCCAGTCTTCATTTTATGAAGTAATGCTGTCTAAAATTAAATTGAAATCTAGAAAACCTTAAGGTAATTTAATCAAATTCCTATGGTGCCGACAAAAATATCTTCATCCAATGTCATCAATAAAAATTACTGTTTCATTCTCGATTTGATTCATTCGATCTTTTCCTTGTTTAGTTTTTATATCAGCTAAATATTTTGTTTTAATCTTTTTATTGAGACAATATCATACCTTATTTTGTCTCAGTATTTTTTACTTCAGTTTAATGCTTATCCTTTTTTTGTTTTCAAAATCTCATATAGCTTGTTGACGAAAATGGTTATTTGATTACTGGAACATTCCATATTTACTTACCACCAAATCTTGAATATGAAGTAAGTGTCGCTTACGTTGCAAAGCATCCAGTTTCTTGGGACTTCGGACATTTACTTTTACGATCTGAAGAATTCAAAACTGCCACTTTTAAAGTAAGCGGTTGACTAAAAATTACGTGTAATATCTTGTCTTTTTCTTTGCTTGTTTATCGTTCTTACCGTTCATGGTTTGACTTTTATGATATAATCGAGTGGTTTTTCGATTTATCATTTTTGTAAAGCAAGAATAATATTTTTTTTGTGGGATGAAGTGAATTCAGTGTGTATATGAGTAAATTTAGAATATAGGAAATGAGACGAGTTCACTTCATTCCACAGTACTTGTTGTTAGTGCTTTACAAAACTTTGTAAGGGAACTAATTGAACTATAGCAGTATAGAGTTGTGGAGATCGTTGAATTCTATTGACTTCATGGACAGATCTTGATTAGACAACCATTGAAAACCTGGAAACATTAGATAGCCTTTTTTTTCTAGTATAAAAACCCTCATCAGTCGGTGTCCACGAACCCGAAACCGGGAATCGGACACAGATACTTCAATTATTAACCGAAATGCCTAATCTATAGACCACCGAGTTCATTCCGAATAGTGTACAAGCTAACTTCATTAAATCCGCAATATTGCGTGACTATTTTCCACTGTCTTCCGTGGTTTCCTCCACACACCCGGCACAGTTTGACTCCCCTGACCACGACTCCTCATTAGAACCAGAAATTTCCTCTTCAACCTAGTCCTTAGCAAGTATATGATTCTCATGTCTAATAATAACAAAATATCAACATATCATGCTTGATATGAGTAACCTTATGATTATCGATACAAAACCATAGTTCCCCTACTTCAGTTCATCAACCCTACTCAGTAAAACTGGTTTCTATTTGTAAATGCACTAGTTCGATTATTTTAACATTTTATTATTCGTAAGTTTTGGCATACGATTTAGTGGCATATTTCTCAATGATTGGCATTGTAATAAGTCATTTGAAATATTAAAACGGAATGTTTCTTTCTCGCAAAAGCACCGGCAAATTGTAGTTCATATTAAATTCGAACAAATGTTTGGCATCTGCATGACTTATTTCCGAAGTTGTGATTGAATAGCGGAATAAAAACTAGACAATGGGACCTACTTACACATTTCTTCCAAGTAATTACCATTTTTTTCGTCTTTATATTTTAGGTTACATAATAATTTTTCACAGAATTTTCACATTTGTATACGTTCTTGTCTTAGGTAAGACTAATTGGTTATACAAATTCCAGTGAATTGGTTTGTTCTTGTTGTTCAAAATTAAGTCCCAATGTTTATTGGGTTGTTGCGTCTAAAATTGATCCCAGTTCTGAGTCAGTGGCTAAAGATAATGAAAAATTTCATGAAGCAAGTCTACGTTCTACCAAATATGAACTTACTTCAAATGTATCTGGATGCTCTTTGGCAAGTATTAATATAAGTAATTATGGCTCTAGATCTGCTTGGGTCTGTGCTCGTGTTGATTGGGTCGATCGAAAAACCGCCAGTCAAAATGAACATGATGATACTTCTGAATGCGGTGTTATTATTGAACCCAAAGCTTTAGTTATTGGATCGAAACAATCTCAGGTTTATCACGTTTTATTATCTTATAATTCCTTCTAAGAGTAAATTGTTTGTCAAAAATTAATTGTTTTTTAAAATGTCATTTTTGTTACTTTCAATTTCTGTTTTCTAACTATAAAGTAAAGCAAACATTTTAATGGTAATTAGTTGGTCCCATGCATGTTCTGCTTATCATCCTTAATCAACTAGCTATTATGATGCATTCGTTAATGGATGCAGTTGTATTGTTAGAATTAGACCTTGAATTTGACAAATAACCGTTAGTTTGATTAGGTGGTAGGTTATATTGTTCGCTTTGATTATTTTATCACACCACACGGTTCACATTAATGTTATAGCAATCATAATTGGTATTTGCTTTCCTCAAGAAATCACTACATTAACAATTATTTCGGTGTTACGCAGCATCGCAGTAATTACTAATGTTTATCTGAAAGATTATGTAATTCGCTTTTTTTGAGATAAACTTCGTTTATTCATGTTATAGAACAGTTTTGAACACTCATAATTCGTAGTTTGTGAGCATAGTGTATTAATCTGAATGGATTAAGAGTTCGCTAACTATACATTCATTATACATAGAGAATATCTTTATTTCTGCTATCCATTTGAGGTTTTTGCAAAATTGGGAATCATACTTGAGGAAAATAGTCAATGTATTCAGTTTAAAACTCAGAGTGAAATGAAGCATGTTTTAAAACAACCAGGATTTGTAAATACTCTATTGATTACATAGATGAAAGGACGGTACTGACATTCTCGTTAAAAAAGTCAGTCACTTCATAAATAGTTTATCCACATGCTTATTAGCTATGTTTTATGCACAAAATATGAATTATATTCTAAAGAATTGAAAAATTAATATCTTCAAAATATGTACTAATAGACAAGTTTTTAAAAGATTGTAAATTACAGTTCCGTTTTTCAAAGCATTTTTATAATTCGAAATTTTAAGTGGAATAAATTTTAAAAGAATTTTCCATGTTATTGTTTACCATCGATTTAAATGTAAAAATGAAAGAATTGGAAAGTATGTTTGGACGTTAGAAAGTTGAACACTGAGTACATCTACAATAATTACGCTTTTTATTTTGTAGTTTGTTACAAATAAATTTACTCACAATAGAAGTATATGTGAATAGATTTTTGTTATTAAATCACTCAGTAATTTATTTTATTTTTTTACAGAGCATTTTTATTACTTTAAAGCATGGTGTAAATGCTGCACGTATAGTATTTTACCATGGAGATGAAGTTGTTCGTTATCAGTTCCGACGATTGTAAGCATGATTTATTTAATTCAAAATGATACTTTTGAGAATTGAATCATTTTTACTACTGTTTCGTCTTAATTCCCTGTTTTTTGTTGTGTTATATTTTACTTTATGATATACTTCTGTCTAGTTTTGTTAACGAGTAACTGTTCCGCGAATTTAATCTTTTTTCTCGAATTATATTGCACATACTTGGTTGTTTCTACTGATACTGAGATAATGATACTAATTTTACTATTCTCGGATTTGTCTAGACTATTTCATACCGCTGTGGTATTGGAATGTGAGAACCTGAACCAATACAAATATATGCCAGGTTCTGCATAGCATCTGACTGCCAAATAGCTGTTCTTTAAATCTTGTTGCGAAGTTTGTTTCTGATATAGTTAATAATTAATGGTATGACCGCATACAAATTTCCTTCATAGACCAACTAGTCAAGTAATAATGGTTATCACATTTACCAATAACTCACTAAATCAAATAAGATCACGCCCAAAATTTTTCACCGTCTATGGATGGATGATTCATTCCTAGCATCTTCATAAAATGATAAGTAATGTGTTTAGAAGCGTCCTTCTTATTCATGATAATTTCAATGTGTTACACGAATGCTGTTTTCTGTCTACTCAGTAATTTGGCAGTATTGATTTTCTACTGTAACTCTGCCAGAAATTTTTTCCGTAAATCGATAATATTTGAAATCGCATTTAAAACTCGATTCTATCAAATTTTAAATGAAGAAAATCCAAATAATAGTACTAAAAGAAGGAATTTTTGATTATTCACATTTTTGACTTAAAGATGTTTCATACATGGATAAGTGGGATATCATTATTTGTAACGTAGTGGTTGTAGGTAGTCGACAGGAAATCCTTGATATAGGTTTCGGGTTAGTTGGCACTCCTCAACAAGGTGGATATGTAACCTTGAGGGAACTGATGCTCCTTGACGGATCCTATCTCGTGTCATCTAGCTTCACAGTCAGAGATGTTATCATTGAGCTATCCGGGCTGTGATTGACCTGTGAGACAGATATATTTATAATTGTAATTTACAATTGTAAATAGCATTGTTTGAGAAGTTTAACTATTTTTTAAACTGTAATCTCCTGATATTCATTCTTTCTTTCTTTCCTGTAAAAATTCATTTTTAGTAATGAGCTTTGTATTCTCTCTTCTCTGTTAATATGTCATTTCCAAGTTTTTGACGCGAAAATTGCTTTTTAGTAGTTGGGATGAGTACTTTTCATCTTTATAATACATGAAGACTTTATATTTGAAGAAGCTGCAAATCCATCTTTTAACATTTATGTAAATCCTTTTTAAATTCTCTGAGAATTAAGCTAAATTTAATTCAGTTATAAACAGATGAACATGGAATTCAGACATTAGTCCATTTGTACAAGATCAGATTATATTGGTTTTGATTGTTTTGACTGTCAAAAATCTGTGCTTTCAATTGTGTAAAGTCATACAGAGGTCTCAGGCATTCATTAATTTGTAAGGCACTCACAGGATTTTTCAATTACTGTTCATAAAGGTTTCGTTCCCACTGGTAACTTTAACAATGAGTAATTTTTTTCTCGTTCGACTTTTCACATGACCTTATTCCACTTAGTCTTGGTTACTAGTCTTAATTCGCTAGTTTTCCGTATGTCTGAAGGTCACGTTTTTGTTACTATGTATACGGAGTTACACCATCCCAAATTATTTGCTTCAATATCACGTTTTCCTGCATTCTTTCGGTGTGGACAACGGGGAAGTGTTAACCGCCTTCATACCTCTAACAGCACTCAAGACCACTGTATTCATAATCAACCTCCCTCCCCAATTCCTATTATTCCTCCTACATCGACTTTCAACTCTAAACTTCCTCTTTCGGCTTCTCCCTCAAGTTTCACTATAGCCGAGGATTCTAGTGTGCAAAACACTGTTTCAAGTCTACTGAAACCTCGCTCCAAACTACACATTGGAGCCTTCAACGTACTCACTCTATATCAAATTGGCCATCAGGTCTCCTTGGCTAAAACACTAGAATCTCGTACCATTGATGTATGCTGTGTCTCCGAAACACGCATACAGGATCTCAGTGTGGTCATTCACTTGACCTCACCTCGCTGAAACGTAGAGCCGACGAGATACAGCCTCCGTGTATCTGGCCAACCGATGGCTAGTTCTCGTGAACTGGTAGGTGTGTGCATAGCACTACGTACGAGGGTAGAACAAGCACTACTAGAGTGGATCCTCGTTAACAGTCGTCTATGTGCTGTTCGGCTAAACGGCTCCGTAAGAATGTGGAAGTACAGGGACACACATCGTTGCCTTTTCGTCGTTTCTGCCTACGCTTGCACTGACTGCAGCCTGGATGAAGTGAAAGATGGATTTTACAGAAAGCTGAACGTTCAGACATAGTACACGTAGCAGGTGACTTTAATGCCCAGGTAGGTAGCTTAAACCAAAGAGAAAGAAATTTTGGTGTTCCGGCTCAGCGAACAGATAATAGTAACTATTTTCTAAAACTGTGCTCAGACAATCGTTTATTTTTAGCAAACACTAATTATAATCAGAAGAGAGAAATCGTCTAACATTGCGACCCCCCTCACCAACCGAACGATGGACTCAAATAAACCATATTATGATCAGTCATCGTTGGAGAGGGTCGGTAGAAGATTGTCGCTCATTCTGGGATACCTGCTTGCGCCTCACTGGACGCAGAAAAGCCACACTAAAAACAGCCATGCGAATTGATTTGAGTAATGAGTAAACCAAAAGTAGGTTCCAGGAACAACTGAGGTCACACTTAGGTAGTCCCAAAAACGAGGTTGACGCAGATGTTTCTTGGAAAGATATACAAACAGCAGTGACACCTGTTAGTGATTTAAACCAAAGAGTTACTATAAAGCTTTCAGAATTTATGTCAGTGTTTTCACCTAGGCTTATTTATGACATCTATTAGTGATTTAAACCAAAGGGTGACAAAGAATCAATTGATTTCTTCGAGGTCTATTGCACTGATGGATTCTCGTAAACTCATCCCATCAGGCTCTGAGCACGATGAAGAGCTTGAACAAATCAGATCTAGGTTAAGAAAAAGTCTAAGAAACGACCGTGAGCAATGGTGGGCAACGAAAGCAAAAGAGATGGAAATGGCGGCGGCTATAGGAAACACAAGACAGCTCTACAAACTAATAAAAGAAACTGGAATTAATAAGTCAAGTGTAAGTGAGATTATTTCGGAAAAAGATGATACTCTCATCTGCTCCCAGTCCAGACGTTTAGAACGATGGGCGGAACATTTTACAGAACAGTTCAGCTGGCCTTCAGCTACTCTACAACTACCCTCCATTCCCAGACAGTGTGAATGGAACATTGAAGTAGGTCCCCCAACTCTAGCAGAACTTCGAAAGGCTATAGTTAATCTGAAACGAGGAAGGGCAGCTGGTCCAGATGGATTGGCTTCAGAGGTGTTTAAGGATGGTGGTCCAATTTTAGCGATTAGGTTGACTGATATTTTAGCTAAGATCTGGGAGTTAGACATTATTCCATCTGACTGGTCACAATCACTTATCGTCCGAATATATAAGAGAGGGTTAAAACCATCCTGTGACAACCATAGAGGGATTAGTTTAACTAATATAATGTCTAAAATACTATCCTCGATAATTATCAGACGCTTAACTAAGACTCGTGAACTTCAAACACGAGAGAATCAAGCTGGCTTCAGACCTGGTCGTGGCTGCATCGACCACTCTGTCTTTCCTTATACTTTGAGATTAAAATCGCTTCATATCTTTCTTTCTATGGACTAATTGTTTCTTCCTGTACTATATCCTTTTACACAATCTTTTGTATATTACTACCATTGAACTAGCTACTTATATGGATTCGGTGTTCATCTTGTTGTGCTAATGAGGTATAGCAACTTGGATTCATGCACATATGTGCCTGGTCCCACGTTGTAGTTGACGGACTACATACTTTCGTAAATGTGGATTATTGTTAAAGTGTAGTTTTCCATTTGCCGCTCTATCGAGTGCTCGAAAAAACTAATTCATACTAAAGCACGCCCAATCTTTCTGTAATTAGTAATCACCGTATCTACGTAATGAATTTCAATCACAAGATATATCAATAATATATTCAAAGTTTATTCGCATTTGTATGGTGTAAGGTCGGCTGATAAAATTATTGATCTATTCATTTTTTTTCCAGATGTGCTTGTTTTGAAGAGACCATTTCAAAATTGAGAAAACGATCCAGTCACAGCCGTCAAGATAATCGTTTACGATTATCAGACATTTTGAAAGATTTTGAATATGAACAATCTATCCAAATCGGTAAGAAGTTCGTTACGCTTTTTATGTTTTGCAATCAGTATAATAAAAGATGTATGGCTATATAGACCTGAAGGTCTCATATGAGGCTGGAGGTTCGCCATTGTTATTGTGGACGGTTCGGCATTGCTTTGGCAAGTTTTGCTGACTGTTCATGCAAATAATTGGTTTGCTGGTTAACCGATTTCATTCATACTGGTGGTTGCCTTTCAGTGTTCCCGAGGGCCATTGTCATTGGGACATTGTAAGGCATGCCGCCATTGCTAACATTAACGAGTTTGACTGTCGTGTAAGCGGAATAGGTCAACTTTGGTCTGTTCGTGCTGTGCATAATTGATTCACGCGATCATTGATCGGAATAACTATACATGTGGTGTGAATGTGTATATGAATGGTGCGAATTGTCCAGCAGGGTGCTTGGTACCTGTGTGGTTGCGCCACAGGATTGAGCTGTACTATTGAGATTGTAGCGTTAAAGCCTGTACGGTGTCTGGTTCCCTTGCTAAACGGGGTTGAGCTGTACTGTTTGGGTTTTTACGTGAAAGTCCGGATGGTGTCTGGTTCTCCTGAAAACCAATGTAAAATTACCATGGCCCACAAGGGTATATTATGTATATAATAAAAGATGGTTTTTCTGTCAGTTATAAATAATATGAAACTGATATGAAAATTTATCATTCCAAATTCCATATATTTCACACTTAACACAGCAGGAGATAATTCACCATACGATTATCTGATAAGCCGTTCATCAGGCCTGCATTTTCATGTAACTGATGAAACTTACATTTTTTAACATATTCAAATCTTCTGAAATGATGCGACAAGAATTTAGTTAAATGTTCTTATATTCTATGTAGTTGAACTGCCTCCGGCATCCTTCAATGATCTTCGACCCCAGGACTGGCATCAGGCCTTTATGGATCAAGTAAATCATCGAGAACATATGCTCCTGTGCATTTATACTTCAAAACAAAATCAAAATTCAAACACTCAAAATCAACGCAGCGTATATTTATCCAGTTCAGTATCGGAATCTGTACTTGAGAATTCGTTAGCTAGTGTTTTTGTACAACAAGATGCTTTCAAACGTCGAAATTCTATTAATCCTATTCATCGTGAAAGTTCTGCAACATTTTTTTCAAAGCCAATATCGAGAAATGGTAGTTTGTGTGAACCTTATTCGACAAATACTTTAACTCCTAATATTTCAACTGGTCAAAGTTCCAAAGGAAAAACGTCACTCGTTCAACTGCCAAAATTAGAAATAAACCCTCCGTATATTTTGGTGTTTCCACCATGTACTCCCAATTGCTCAACAGAAGGTAAATTACCATTGCCTTTTATTTTTGTGGATTTCTTATGAACTAGTTTTTGTCGACCTTTACCCAGTGGTATTTATGCTCCCCTAAGCGTTTAGATCTATTTTGAATAGTAAATCTGATAAACTTTTAATCGTAATTTCGTGTTATCTACTGAGTTTTGGAATAAACCTTTTGCTTTGAAGTGAGTTCAGATTAAAGGAAGTTTAGTTGAGTTTTAACTTAAATATGCGGAAATAAAAGGAAATCTCATGAACATACAGCTATTTGAAGTGATTTTCACTGATCTTTTAAAGTATAAAGGAGTTTATTTTTTAATGAAAATATTTTAGATTTTAAAGTTTTATCGTATTTCAGTGTACTTCTTATTAGTGGTGGGAGGAGTATAACTAACCTAATAGAATATTGCAGAAGTCAGTTGAGTCACAATATCCTTAATAATTTTCAAACAATGCAAGAAAATCATTGTTAAATTGCCTTTATTTTCTCTTGTTACTGGTATAGTTTCTTTTTATTGTTTATATATTTATTACCTAAACATAAGCAGTGCATAGATTTCTTTGTAGCATATTTATTTCTCATTGATTTTCACGCCTTTTAACTTTCATTACTATGACCCTTTGCTTTTCATCCGCTGATTATTTGGTGTCAATATCCACCGGTTATCGCAACAACATTTTAAATATACCAACCTAACCTATTTGTTATATCATTTGCCAGCATTCACTTAGCTACGTAAAATCACTTTGAATAACTCACGATCACAAATCTATTTTACATTCAGAGCACTAATTAGAGATTAGAATGAGAATCATTTTTGGTCTGTTTATACAAATAAATTGAAGCTCCCTAGTTTTACCAACTAGGCTATAAACCATTGATTCAAATCCCACTGTATATACATACGTTTGTCTATGACAAAGCATTATTATCTCTTAAAAATATATATTATTAGCAGCCTATACACAGGAAAATACTGTTGCAAATTTTCAGTGAGTTACTATCTCACAACAGACCTGGTTGCACTACACTGGTCACTGGCAAAGTTTGTTATGGAATAAATGGGATATATATATATGATTACATCACTTTTTAATATCTGAACATTTCTCCCCTACTTCTAGCTCAATTTTCTGTGAGCTTAAAACCAAGTTCACCTAGTGAAGATGAAACGTCTTCCTTGTCATTATGGAAAGTGTTTTGGTCGGCAAATCCTGTAACTGGAATACAACTGCGAAATATTACTTCAAATTCCTCTTATCCACTTAACAAACGGTCTACCATGGAACAAGGTATCTTTCAGTTGTTACCTTCTAAATCGAATTCACTCAATCAACACAGCATTAATAATAAGTCAGTCAGTAGTGTTGGCATTTTATCAACCAATGCTAATAACACGGAATTTCGTTCATTTTTAATACCTTTTCGTTTCAAACCTACTTCATATTGTGAAAATATTTTAACTCAAGATTGGCATTTGGATTTTTGGCTAGAACCATGTATACAGAGCCAATGTCATTTTATATCTAAATGCAATTTAAAAGATTCAGTCACACTTTTAGTCACTTTAGAAGGTTCGGTAAGATAAAAATTTGATATTTCGTACTATTATATATATATATATTCTTTCAATTCATGTCCAAATAACTATTTCGTTCTCCAATTACTCATTTGAATTTTTTTATCTTGTAAAAATAATGATTATGTAATTAGCGATTTTATAAATGAAACTACTTTAAATAACCACTAAGAAGCAGGAAGCACTGGACAGTTTCCTTGTTCCAACATAGGAAGCCCCAGCAGCACACATCCATGAATAAGCCGATGGGGATCTAATCTAGCACCTTCTGTTATGACCTTGGATGTCTGACTATTCTATCACACGATTTATCTACCAATCCGAATACGACTTGTACGAATCTTCACACTAGGCCGACCAATGACGTTCAACCGGTGTGGGCAGTTTAGCGTCCTTATCGGTCCTATGTCCTACGAGCCCTTCCACTTGAGTACAGAACACAATACCAGCTTCCGAATATGAATCGAATCGTTTATTTCATGCATACTTGGTTTATATATCAATCACACAGACCGCAACGTACCATAAAATAGGAAATAATATTTGTACATAAATAAGCCCAAGAAGTGGCTGTGAATGTGGGAGGCAGTAGTTAATAAACTGAACATAACTTAAGAACCGTAAATCGTACAATAATAAATTATAGGTCAAAATAAAGCTTATCATAAAAGGAATATAAATATCCATAGTGTAATTGTCGAGTAGTTATACAATAAGAATATTTATAGAATATTAGTCCATGAATAGTCCTTGGAATTTACCTGTAGTTTAATCTTCACCGGATATAACACCTTCTATCTCGCTTGCAATGTTAATCCTTAGACCACTGAACCGAAATCGAGTGATATGTTAGTCTAACTTAAGTTGGTTCACGATATCAATAGTATTCAATAATCTCCTAAAACTCCTATTCTGATAATTACATGGTTGTCCTACAAAGCACATTGACTATTTAATCTTCCGAGTATATTCATTACTCACTAAGTTTCAGGTCAGAATATCTGTGTTTTGTCATCAGCTGTTTCACGGATTGACAAATATATATTCAATAATCACTGTACATATATAAATAGAATCCACACTGTATGACTTACAATGTCCATTATGGAGGAAGTTTGTGTTGTGTATTTGTCTAACACCAACTTGGTTTGAGCAATAATCCTGGTTATAGCTAAAGGAAATTAGGAATAAACTTGAAACACTTTCTTTCTAAATGTAATGAAGTCCAGTTAGTTGAAAACATTGAATGGTATAACAATAAGGTTTTTTGTTAATGAAACAACAATCTGCTCTTAATGATATTTTTAAGGATTCTTTCATGTTTAGTGCACGTCTATTGAGTTTTCGTCTTCGTCCATTGTACTGCTGCGTTTGAGAAGTTATACGGTTTAACTGCATCTCATACTTCTAGTTCCAGTGAAACAATTCATGGGATTTTCTTTAATTGCTCTTTCGTTATTATACGTTCTACCTGATACTAGTGTAATGGTTGACTTTTCATTATAAATATTTCGTTTATTTTTCTAAATTTGTTGACCCTTTTTATAGTGTCATGATCAAGCAACAATGAAAGAATCACTCACATACCTGCAAAGCATAGGCGACTACAAGTTAAAATACCCTCCTCCGAAGTCTCAATGTTTTAATGATCGTACTTCGTTGATGATTGATGAAAACACTTTGAAAACGGTTCATATTGGTCCGATTGATGTGATTGGCCTACCAGTTTCTTTTGATACTATAGACTCCAATTCTTCAGTAACCTCTCGTTCTCACAATGTAAGTTCGTCAAATAAAGTACAGACCTGTTTATCCTACGGTGTATCGCGTTGTTACTGAGTGACTTTCATCTTACAATTCACTCTCATTTTATGCTTTATTTTAGATTATGTTGATCAATCGAATGAAGACAGCTGAAGCATTCGTCAGATTAAAACTTCCAAGACCACCATTCTACGTTATGGAGCCCAAGGAAATAAGGTTTCGTATATCGTAAGCTCGTGTTCTATAATCCTATTTAATTCCATGCTTGGGACAGCTATCTTTTTTGTTTATTAGGAAGTAAGATATACTTTTGTAGTTAACTTTATGCATTTATTCTTTCACTCTGTCATGTGATCATGACTTGGTCAGTACGATAATCTTGCTAGTTTCTAGGTGGAAAACTAGTTTTATGACTATTCCAGTATTTTTTTCTATTACATGAATATTTCTTGAAACTAATTCTGTGACTAGGTCGTTTTACTATGAGTAAGTGATGCTGCCATCTCAAGTAATTATCGTTATCCAAGTACTCTTGACTGGGTTTCATCATGATAATAAATACACTGAATATTCTTCCCATATCTTTTGAAATATTTAGACGGCATTTCACACTAGTCAGTTGTAGGTTAATCGACTATAGTAAAATTGAACGTTGGATTAGAAAACCCGGATTGTTCGTCTATGTCAGTTTCTCTAAGAGAAAATTTAACCGGAAGACTATTTACTTACGCTTGTTACTCCCAATGGAGCATAGGCTGCCGACCAGCAATCTCCAGCCCACTCTGTCCTGGGCCTTCCTTTCTAGTTCTGTCCAATTCTTGTTAATTTTTTCCATATCTGTCTCCGTTTCTCGACGTAATGTGATCTTTGGTCTTCCTCTTTCCCTTTGGCCTTGAGGATTTCATGTGAGGGCTTGCCTTGTAATGCAGTTCGGTGCTTTCCTCAATGTGTGTCCTATCAACTTCCAGCGCTTCTTCCTGATTTCTTCGTCCGCTGGGATCTGGTTTGTTCTCTTCCATAGTAGGTCGTTGATGATGGTGTCTGGCCAACGGATCCGAAGTACTTTGCGTAAACACTTGTATCTCCTGAATGATGGCTTTCGTAGTTCTCCAGGTTTCCGCCCCCATACAGTAGAACTGTCTCGACATTTGTATTGAAAATTCTAACCTTGGTGTTGGTTGACAGTTGTTTTAAGTCCAAGATGTTCTTTAGTTGTAAATAAGCTGCTCTTACTTTTCCGATCTGCACCTTCACATCTGCATCAGATCCTCTGTGTTCATCGACGATGCTACGGAGATATGTAAAGGTTTTTACATCTTCCAAATCTCCATCAAGTGTGATTCCATTTTTACATGCTGAGTTTTATCGGAGAATCTTGCTTTTCCCTTTGTGTATGTTGAGACCTACTGCTGCTACACTGGTCGTCTTCTGTATTTGTTGTTGCGTGTGCGATAGAAGAGCCAGATCATCTGCGAAGTCTATATCGTCCAGCTGCATTCTAGCTGTCCACTGTACCCCATGCTTCCTCTCAGATGTTGACGTCTTCATGATCCAGTCGATCACCAGGAGAAGGGGAGAGGGTGAGAGTAAGCAATCTTGCATGACACCGGTATTTACCTCGAACTAGTCTGTCAAATGTCCTCCATGCACGATTTCGCAGTTTAATCCATCATAGGAATTCTGTATGATATTGACTATCTTCTCAGGTACGCCGTGGTATTTCGATCAGAAGTCCTTCTTTCCAGTCTGTTGGTACTTGTTCTTCATCCCAAATCTTGCTGACGAAAATGTAGAGTATCTCTGCAGTTACTGTTACATCTGCTTTCAGTGCCTCTGCTGGAATGTTGTCTGGTCCTGCTGCTTTGCCTCTCTTGATTTGTCTGATGACCATGCTTGTCTCTTCAATTGTTGTTGGGCCAACATCGGTTGGGAGGTCCGTGGGTGCTACTTCGATGTTGGGTCGGTTCAGTGGGGCTAGTCGATTCAAGAGTTCTTTGAACTGTTCTACCCACCTGTTTCGCTGTTCTTCGATGTCGGTGATCACTTTGCCCTCCTTGCTATTCACTGGTCGTTCTGGTTTACGATAATTTCCAACGAGTTTCTTTGTTGTCATACAATTATCTCATGTTTCCTTCTCTTGTAGCCTTTTCCACCGTCATCGCTAAACCCTTCATATATTTAAGTTTGTCGGTTCTGATGCTCCTCTTCACCTGCTTGCTTACTTCTGTGTATTTATCTTGTGTCTTGGCTTTCTCTGCTCTTGTTCGGCTGGAATTGATAGTTGCCTTCTTGTTCTTCACTTCTTGAATCTTCTTCAGTGTATCAACAGTGATCCATTCCTTTTGGTGGTGCTTCTTGTGGCCCAGAACCTCATGACATGTTGAATTGATTGCGTCTTTTATTCCTTTCCAGTTGCTCTCCATAGTAGTTCTCTCTTCATTGAATAGATCGTGAAAGGTCTGGAGTCTATTGCTGAGGGCTGTCCTGAACTTTTTGGGTTTGTCAGTATCCCGAAGAAAAGCTGTATTAAACTTTTGTGATATCCGCCCCATTGTCCAGTGCTTCTTGAGTTTCAATTCCATCTTGGCGACTAGTAGGTGATGATCCGATGCTATATCAGCTCCTCTCATGGTTCGCATATCGCCCTCCTGAACTTTTTGTTGATGCAGTTATGGTCGTTTTGGTTCCGTGTGGTGTGATCTGGTGAAATTCATGTGGCTTTGTGTATACGTTTATGTAGGAATATGGTGCAGCCTATGAACAGTTTGTTGAAGGCACACAGGTTTGCAAATTTCTCACCATTTTTGTTCCTTTCTCCCATTCCATGTCGTCCCATGATGTCTTCATATCCGATGTTGTTCATTCCAACCTCGGCATTTAGGTCTCTCATCAGAATGGTTAAGTTTTTTGTTGGGCACTTCTCGACGATTGGCTGCAGCCTATCGTAGAGTTGATGTTTAAGGTCTTCATTGTAGTCGTTGTTAGGCGCATGGCATTGGATGACGATCATTGTAAAGCTCTCTCTCCTTGCTTTTGAATCAGGCTTTGGTGATTATTGGTCCTTGAGATTCCCATCCTATAAGTGTATTTTGTGCTTGTTTGGATAGCATCAGTGCAACTTCTTGTGTTTGTAGAGCATTTTCTTCTTCATAGCCGAAGTATAACAGAAGCTCCCTTGAAGCCAGTCGTTGTTGTCCAACCTGCGTCCGATGTGTTTCACTGATTCCAAGAATATCCAGGTTGTATCTTTTCATTTTTCACATTGAACGAGCATTCCATGTACCTAAATAAATGGTTGCTCTGGTTGTCAGAAGGGGCATCAGCCTCGTGGCTTCCGAAGGAACTTGACTTTCATTATGAGGCGTCATAACTCTTCTAAATGAAGACCTTCTGACTCCCAGGGTAGAGTTTAAGTGGTTTAAATAATTTTTTCTGTCTAGCGTCGTTTTAGCGAGTTAGTTTTATACGGGATGGAGTCGCTAACCCCATGCCCAACCCTCCTCCTTTGCCCGGGCTCGGGATTGGCAGTAGCCCCAGAGGGGCTCCAGGCGGAGTTAATTGGAACACTATAAATTATGCAAATGGACACTTAGCAATCGAGTGATAAATAAGTGATATACTTGTAATATCCCGAGGAGTAGAAAATCTAACTTTTTCTACTCATCGGGATATTACAAATATATTATTTATTTAAAACAATCTACCCGATGCTCAGTTTATCCGAAATTATCAAGTCAAACCTTAGTAATGATACCTGAATTCAAGTGATAAGTCTGAAGCTTTTGTTTTTGAAATATTGGTGGCTAATAACCTGAACTTTCTTTCACAATTTATAATTTGTTTTACCATTTTGAACACTAGACCTCGTTCCCGTGTACGAATAGTGCTTAACTTTCGACCATACACACTAGGAAAATCAAGTTCCGTTCTGGGAATTAGTGTTGAATATCACAAACAAGAAAATTTATCTATGGAAAAACCCCATTTTAACGTCAAACCAACTATCGAATCTTTCCAAGTTCATTTATTCGGTACAATGAATTAACTTCAAATCTTTCTTATTCCTTGTATTTTACAACTGTATGTCCTTACTGCTGATTTTTATGTATATTTAATATTTCATACACATAGTTCCATTCTTAATCTTGAAGCGAGCAAGAAGAGAATAATATGAATTCATTTTATTTCGTTTGGTTGTCGTTAGCTGCGTACAACCTAATATTTAAAAATCATCATAAACATAATAAGCTATGAAATAACGCTACACTTAGTGCGTTAGACGACATCCAACGCCTAGGTTTAAATGGAAAGCTAAGCTCTGAGTAGTTCATGTGAAAAATAGTCTTCTGGAAATTTTCTTGTACCTCATTGACCTTTAGTTAGCTGAAAAATTTTTGCATAACACGCCAAGTGGGTGGGAAATTTGTGCATCAGCGGCAATAAGGGAAGTCGAATCCAATGTGACTATGGTCTAGGACTGACGAGGTAGTGAATCTTCATCGATTGTGATGGTTAAAACATGTATCCTCGACACGTGATAATGGCTGGTGTAGGTGTATTCTGGGAGCGGCCAGACCAAGAATAAGTATCAATCCGTGGAAACACTAATGGACTAAACCATATAGATAGGCGCAGACTACCTGAGTGAGGTCTGCTTGAATATCGCAACGAAAGAATAGCGACCTTGGGTGACATGGTTTAGTATAGTTCGCAATGGTGCGGATTAATTCAATCATTTTTACCCCTCTTAGTTCCTAGGTTCTTAAATTACCTACTAAATCTTTTTTATTCTACTGATCCACACTTCTTCGAATCGTAACTTCGTTACTAATTCTACTCATGGATTCGTCTTAACAATTTCATCTCTCTATGTCTGACTGATGCTTTAGGATTAAATTTGTGGTCGGTCAATGGTTCAGAAGCCTACAGACCTGAATAATTAAGCTGTTATTGCCATTAAAGTCCTACGATAACTCGTGAGTCAATAATCTATGCGCATGAAACATTGTCACTACAAAAAGACCTCACCAATGACATCAAAGTTTCCGGGATTTGTTATTAACGTCTTGAGTTTGGTACCTCTACCTTATTACTCAAATAGCCACAAACTAGTAAATGTGAACCAAGAAAGCAATTGCACCTGTTGGGTAACTAAGTATTTTACTTAGTAAATGCGAACGAGTTTTCGGCAGCAGTGGATGGCTTTACTGACTCGGTCATTTGACGAACTTAGTGGCGTAATGTTCTTGGAATTATCTTCCAATTTTTATGAAGGGCAAAGCTAACGAACAAAGAAGAAGTTATGAAGGATATGCCAGTCTATTGGTTTATTAGCAAAAAAGTAACCTAAGTGGTGCGGATAGGATATGTTGCCTCTATTTCATTCGGTTTAGAGCAAAGTCACATAGGGGTTTCTCACTATGGCTAACACCAGCCGGTAGACCTACATGATTCCTAAGAACAGCCAGCGAATTCTACAAGAGGACCTTAGTTTGATAGCTTGGCCTTTTCTATAGACGAAATCGGACATCAAGGTGCCCAATCTCATATGATTATTTAAACAAACTCTCTGTACCAAAACCAAGGAATATGAATTTTAAAATGCTCATCAGTGAGTAATTGTTTTGAAGTGTTTTAGAATAAGCACAAAATACAGTTGTTTATTCACAGGCGAAGAAAATTCTCCCTTTTTCACGAGCTTTATTTAGTTTCTTTGAAAGTTTTCTCGTTCTTCTTGCTTGAATATTGGTGGTTCTCTTAACCTGTCTCTCACGTTTCTTTTCTTCATTAGCCTCTATACGCTTCTTCCAGTTTTTAGCTCGTTTCCGTTTGAGTTTATATACTTTATCAGCTGCCCTTTTCAAAAGTGACATGTCATCTTTAACCTTCACACCTGAAATGATTAAAATTAATTCATAAAATCAGTATACCTTGAGCTCTGAGTGATGCAATTTTCCACTTTTTGCGAATGATATCAACGGATGTCAGATCTGCATTGTTAGTTTCTGATTTTGGACTCTTGTTAGCTTTTTTCAACAATTTTATTGGGTCTCTGCCAACAAATATACCCTGCTTCTCGAGTTTAGCTAGTTTTCTCCTATTTTTCTTTTGAATTTGCTTTTGAATCCCGTAATTTATGATTTCATTAGGGTCGTAAAGCTGAATCTTAGAGAAATAATATTTCTCAGGATTTACTGGTGTCATATAGAGGCGTCAGAGAATGGTAGAATTATTGCCTCAGTTTGTGGTTCTCACTACTAAAAGGAGGAAAAATAACACATCCATAACCTGACTTGGAAATAACTTTTAAGATCCCAACAATATTTACTGTGTTTACTCAAAACTAGTAATAACTTACTTCAGCTATACTAGTGACATTTATTTGTAGTATAGAAATATCTATTTATTTACAAGACAAAAACACGGACTGCTAAGCAATGTCATAACTTCAAAAAAACAAGAAAAGGAAACAGGAAAACTGAAGATATTATGAGGTAAATTTTTTATCAGGATGATTTCTTACACATGATGTACACTTTGGTGTTCATGAAGAATACATCAGGAATATACTACAACATCATTATTAAATTTTATACCGAATAATATCTAATGAGGCGGAGTGTTCGCACTCTATCTACCTTAGATATTTCCAGAAAGCTGTCGTAGAATTAAATGTTAGGGACGTACTCTTCCGAAATAACCTAACGTATAGACGTAAACATAAATTATACGACATAGGCGATCGAATACTTTGATAATACAGTCGCCGTATATTATTATCTTAAAAATACTTCATAAACCCACTTTTTACGGAAGCTAGCAACTCGATCTCAGAAATAAGCCTGTGATAATAAACATCAAGAGACCCAATGATCTAACAGTACCAAATTTTTCCACGGTTTATTTGACAACTCTATGTTATCATCAAATCTTTTATTATGTTGAAGAAATATAGATCCCTTTTACATCGTCTATATTCTGTTGAAAAGTCCCGTCAGAGATAACACTGATGTAAATTTGAATACACGTGTTACGGATGCTTATATTTTTACGCATTCATTTCAGTAATAAGACAAACAGATGATGAGCAGAGAAAGCAAATGTGCCTACTCAAAAGATAATGTGTAGTCTGAGATTGGATAAAAGTTTACAAAAACAAACAAATACATGAGACGTATAAATGTAGAACTACTAAGACGTGAATATGAAATATAAGTACTGAAGGTCACAATTTCCTGTAAAATATAGTATTTAGTAATATAAAAATGACGCAGTTGTTGTATACTGTTGCTGAAGTCTGTCTAAAAGTTGGGACCAGCTACTCGTAATAAAATAGCTGCTAAGACCGCGGCTTTCAGATCTCGCCCATGCAAAAACCCAAACAGCCGTATATATATATATATATATATATATATATATATATATATATATATATAATACTGTTGACTACTTTAGTATCTCGCCGTGTTAATTTGATATGGGAACTGATGCACATAAATGCTAGATTTTACGCTGTGAAGACTGAATATTGCCCTATGTTGGCGAAACCGGAAAGATTTAGTGTGTCATTACTGCCGAGTTGAAGCAGCTTCGACTCATTTTGGACTCGACAAATTCTGACTATCAATCAAACAACGTAGACAACGGCACGTGTGCACATCAGTCCAAGTTAATACATCCCATTAGCAGAGCGAGATTAAATTGTCAGGACGAGTCCCAGAGCATCGAAGTACAGTATTGGTGGTAACATGAAGAGATAGGCACTGAAGAAACGATCTGTGAAATTAGAAAAAAATATGACGGATTTGAAAAGTTAGAAACTACGGGAAGACAAACGGTGAATGCAAATGAGTCCTATACAAAGTCAGATGATGACATGAAATACCTTCGTACACTGTTGTATAGGCGAACGGATAAACCACTTTTTGATGAAGCATTGAGCATAAAAATGCGACTTTCGGTATACGGTTATCTGGATCGCAACATCATAAAGCGAGACATGGATAATAACAAGTTCATTTTTCTGTTGAGAAAAGCGTTACATGTTTCGCTTAGTTCTAAGCATATATGATGATACGGGTTAGACTTTACAACAACATGAACTTCCTGATAGTTTGTTAATCAGGTCATCCTGATATGCGCGAGTTTCACGTTGTAAGGTTAAACAAACGGATACCCCATATGTTGTCTCTTTTATTGCCCTATGGTTATTTGACAAGTGATCGATGAAGCAGTGTCGAATTCGTGTACATCCAGTTAAGGAGCGTAATTCTGGCAGTAAAGTTATAATGGAGTCGTTGATGAAAACAAATATGTGAAATGAGGAGAATGGAAAGGAAACACGTGCAGTAGAGTACGATTTTATATTAAACAACAAAATCTACGAACCCAACATTAAATATGCTACGTGATCTTTCTGCTCCCTACTTTGACAATTAAAATACATTTTATCCCTTCGAGACTAAAAAAAACAGTCATGAGCTTCAGTAATAAGTTTTCATTGAATAACATCACCATAAAAACCAATGGGAGAGCTGTGAAAAAACTGAATCTTTTGCTAATTCAAAGTCATATGTATATATATCTGTCACGATTTTTGGCTGACAATTCTCATTGCTTTTCGAGACATGCTGATCTTATCATATCCAAAAACATATAGTTCAGTATGATAGATTTTACGCCGTTTATTTATAACCTAATAGATCTAGTTCCGAAGAATTCAAATTGTTCGGGAAGGGATAGAAGCTTTTTCCTCACGGGATTCCGTATCTAGTAGCAATCATCAATGTTGATTATCTCTGTCTAGTGATTGTGGGCCTTTTCGAGTTAGACGAGACCAACACCTAACAAAGATATCACGCCTCGTGGTTAGTACCTAACGTCTATTACCTCTTTGTCGTATCAAGGTAGTATGGATTGTTTGAATACCGTACAGCATAGTGGACACTATTGCAGAAATATATTACTTAACATAGGTACAAGCGAAATTGTAACTACCAACCCAAGGGTCTACAATTAATTGATGCGCGTTCGTTGTCCTTGAACTTGGCAGAGATCGATGATCTGTTGGATATTCAATGCCCCGACTGCCGGGTGATTTGGCTATGGCTCAGCGACATTTCAGAAGCCCTAAAAAGGATGTCTTTAAGTTTTCGGGATGCCGTAAGTCATTAGAATATCACCTTTAAGACGCCCGTACTCTAATGTGTAAAGGTTCGGTGATTGGAGGCGCTCTTCATAAGACTTGAGTTTTAGCCCCCAAACTGATTTCGAGGCTAGCTGTTGTATTCGTTCTAGAGCGTCCTTATCCTTTTAAGGTGAGCGAGGAAAAACAATGTTTCCTTATTTTAACTGGGGTCAAATAAAACTGTTGCACATTATGTGGAATACTCATCCGTTGAACTGATCATAAATGTGCTTCAACATCAACATTGCAAGGTTTGCTCGAAAATAATTTTCGTCGCATTTCGCGTAAGACTTCAAGTTATATGGTACCAAGGCTTCTATATCTTTTTCATTCTCTAGAGCGGAGTTGCCTTAAGTTGTAATTGTAGGTGGGCATTGAACTTTAGTTTGTTTATGTGTGGCTGTAAAATGATCCTCGAAATGAACAGTTCCGTTGGCTTTTATCGTTGAGGCAAACCTTGTTGGTTTTTGCAGAAACACTTTTAGTTGAACGCCCTCAAATTAGTATACACGCTGGACCTCATTTGTGTATGATGTGTGGCTCACGACATGGTTTGAAAGTAAAGCCACCCAAAACCACAAGGAAGTCCTATACACAACTTTTCCTCCCTCATCTGTTCAAACGTTGGAAGAAATCTACCTACTGAGTGTAAAAGGTCAGTTTACACAAATACAAATAAAACAAGAACTTGCACGAGAGTCACTTGTGTTTATGTTCTGACAGAGCTTTTATCCGTAACAGCTTTGAATTCTGAAGATTCAGGATCCAAACAAATCAGAAATAGTTCGAAGATATACCTAGAAAGCTGTCGACATATGAGATGTTTGGTTTAAGTCAGTTAATAATAGGTGGACGTGCTTAGTAAAACACACCTCATAACGATATGTTGCCGATTCGTGACCGGTCGCCTTCAGCTAGCGTATTTCATTTGAAAGTAAAGAGGTCATTAATAAAGTCGAGGAATCGCCGGACAATTTTATTTTTTGGGACTGGCTTATCTCTGCACTTTCAATAACCAACGAATTTTCTTACTTAGCTTATGGAGATAATAATGAACATCGTCTACATGATTGCATAAACTACTCGATGCAGAATTAAAAGTTTCGGTCAGTCAGTCAGCCACAACGTAGGATCAGGCACATATGTGCATCAATCCAAGTTCCCATACCTCATTAGCACAACAAGATGAACACCGAATCCATATAAGTTCAATGGTAGTTCGATGGTAGTAATATATAAAAGATTGTGTAAAAGGATATAGTACAGGAAGAAACAATTAGTCAGTAGAAAGAAAGATATGGAGTGATTTTAATCTCTTAGTTTAAGGGAAGACAGAGAGTATATACACCTACGCCACTGTGATCCATTCTGAGCCATGTCACCCAGTCTCCAACCATTGGTTACGATAGTCACGCGGACCCCAACCAAGTAGACTGCATCTACCAACATGGCTCAGACTAGAGGTTAGCGACTTCAATCACTGATGCCACATTTTGGTTTGACCACTCCTAACTTTCTTCCAACCATCCCCAACACCGGTTAGCATTGTACGTTGTGGTAATCGGTGTTCAGGCATACGTAATACGTGGCCCAACCATCTCAGTCGATGAAGATTCACAACCTCATCCACTGATTTACCATCATTCCCTAATACCCTGTGTCTAACCTCACTATTACTTACTTGGTGATGCGAGAAGATGCGAGCAATATTTTTAGGGCATCTGTGGTCAAATACTAGTAGCTTACGAGTACGTTCTACTCTTCATGGCCACATTTCGCAGCCAGAACGTAACGAACTGCAGCGCAGTATACTTGTCTCTTAATTGATAGTAGGATATTTCGCCTTCGCCATAGGTGATGTAAGTTGGCAAAAGCCAAACGAGCTTTTCGAATCCGTGCTGAGATTTCGTCCGATACCAACCCATTAGGGTTGATCAGACTTCCAAGATAAGTGAAGTTGTCAACGCGTTCGACTGCTTCACTCCCCATCCTTAATTCAGATGTTGACACAGGCCAGTCCTGAAGCAAATACTTACATTTAGAGGGAGATAAGTGCACTCCAAACATTCTG